AGGCTCTTTAAATCGACCGCAAAATTCGGTTTCTTAACCTATCGCTCTACGACTTTGTGCAGCGTTGCCAACAGATGGTGCATTATTTTTTTTTTTTTTTGTAAAATTTGCAAAGAGCGAATTTACCTGAGGAAAAAGTAAAGAAAGAAAAAGGCTTAGCTCCTATGGAAACGCAGCGACGCCACCGGTTTTCAAACAACACGGCGCCGTTTTGCACGGGAGACAAGAGATGGCGCAAGCGGTCGCGACGCCAACTGCCGCCAACGAACGAGCATACGACGCCGACAGCCGGCGTCTTTAGCAGACAAGGAACTGCAGTTCCTTGTTGCTACCGTGCCTGTTTTTGTTTCTGCGACTGTCGCCGCCTGTGGAACGCGCGTCGCTTTTGAGTCGAAAAGATTGTCTGCTAAAGAGGTGGGCTCTCGGCGCCGTATGCTCGTACGTTGGCGTAAAGCCCCTGTATACGGAAAAGTAGCGACTTTTGCTCTTTCGCGCTCGCGCGTCGACGTTAGCGCCGCCTGAATCGCTCCAAGATAGCAGACGGCATTCTTCAAAGGATGTCGCTACTTTTCTGTATACAGGGGCTTTACGTTGGCGGCGTTCGTTGCGCCATCTCTTGTCTCCCGTGCAAAACGGCGCCGTGTTGTTTGAAAACCGGTGGCGTCGCTGCGTTTCCATAGGAGCTAAGCCTTTTTCTTTCTTTACTTTTTCCTCAGGTAAGTTCGCTCTTTGCAAATTTTACAAAAAAAAAAAAAGCACCATCTGTGGGCAACGCTGCACAAAGTCGTAGCGCGATAGGTTAAGAAACCGAATTGTGCGGTCGATATAAAGAGCCTGGCGTCTCCTTGAATCACCCTGTACAGGAGGTACGCTGGTCACGCAAAATGGCAGACGGAAGGAGGCCCTTTTCGTCGTTCAGCACGCGGATCACCACACATTTCTTGTACTGCAGCGTAAAATTGGTGTTATATACGAAAGCAAAAGCAATTTTTCGACGGCAAAAACCTCCTTCTAGTCAGCGCGTAGGTATGACACGGCGGAAGCATAAAATAAGTTACTGGAAACAATGTTTGTTTCTATGCTGCTTCGGGAACCAAGCAGCGATAGCAGACGACAGAGTCGAAACGACCGTTTCTCCTGAGCTTCTCGGGGTTGCAGCTAACTTTGCAACTCCTACCAAATGCACAGAAGGACGTGGTTTTTTGTTTTGCACGACCTGTGCAGGTGGCAACAAGTAGCGACAAGCTGTTTTGGTGGCGCCACCTCGCGAGCGCCCTCCTGTGACGGAGCTGGTGGGATGCGAGCAGACGACGCGCTTTGTCAGAGCACGGAATGGCTGTTAGTTTGCATCTATGCTGCTATGCTGATTAAAATCAGTTTAATTATTAAAGAAACAGGCGTGACGTTTTTGTGAATGACCTTTTTAACTAATAACAACGCCTCGACATTGCTTCTTATATTAATATTTTTTTAAATGTTCAAAACCAAGCCTGGAGCTTCACATTACAGCTTGCACGGCGTTTGTCAAGGCTATTCAGTCTCTCTGATCCTTGTTTTTTTTTTTTTTTTTTTTTGCATCTGTGGAGGTTGTTGTAGAAAAAAGTTTTTCATTTACCAGAGTAAATGAAAAGCTGTCATCTTAGCTGTGCACGCGTGCACAGTTGTGTTGCAAAGTGCCGCACACTTGCTTTTTAGCTACATTGAGCTTGCCGATACCGACGCTTAGCTCTTCCCGCATTGAATACGTGGCAAAGAAAGAAGTTTGTCACATCGCGACATCTGCTTGACAAAAAAGCAAAATTTTCAACAATTGTCGGACATGGCTTGGCAAATGAAGGCGATTGATTAATTTGTTCTATCCAATTTTTACTAATTGTTTACAAATGTAAAATTGCTCACTGAGAAGCACATCACGCATATGCACATTTGGGTCCGAAATATTAAACAAACGGTAGTAATTAATTTTGGGGGACGCTGAAGTGTTAACGACTTCCTCGATTTAGATCACGAGGCGGTTTCGCACGGTTCGCGTCGACTGGGTGAATAAGCGAGGATTTAATTGAAACAACTCCGGAAGCCAGCTACTGCTTTTTCCTGCCAGTTATTTTGAGGAAATGTTTGTATACTGGTTGATGAAATTAAAAAAGGGAATCAACTTGGAGCTAATAAAAGATCAGCACTCACAGAATACACTGGAACCAACAGGATACACAGAGTTGCTTTCACTGAAGTGTTTATTACACACGCGCGAGATTCTCGAATTTCGCTTTCCTATTCAGTTTGATGAGGCATTCCTTTCTGTTTTATTTTGTCCGAATCATAATAAAAAAAATACACCCTATTTGCCGTGGTGTATGTCGTAATGGGATAAAGCTCTAGACATTCCATTTTTATCATCCAGCGTTTTTTGTACTGGGGTAGAGAACAGCACACCACCACCCAAGCGCTTAGACACCTCAGTGCCAAAAGCGTTTGGTAGCACGACTATGCTTGCCATGGTTTCAAGCTTTGGCAAAATGTCCTACTAGAAATATCACTTCACCAAATAAACAAAACGCCTGAAAGACTGTTCTTCCTGCATCACCTAAACAGCGCATGAATCGAGCTGACGAGCCGAGGGATCCAAGATCGGCGCGGTTTGTCCCAGTCTGTCCCACCCGTGATGTCACAAACGCTGATGATAGCTAAAGAAGCGCCCCCTGCAGTTCACACACGCTGCCATAGTAAAAGGGGCTAATCATCACGGGTGGGATAATGAACCAAGATTTGTTAATTAGCTTATTAACCAGTGAAAATGAGCACATGGTTCCAATTAGAAACTCGTTGATCGTCATAGAAAACCACTAAATCAGTCATTTTTAGAAAGACAGTGCGAGGAAAGTGCAGTAGAGCACTACAGTTGCCACTCTGCAACAGGGACACGGTTGACGGTGAGAAAACGCGGATAACAGATGAAAAAACAATGCGGGAGCACTATTGCACTGGTAGCCTTGCTGCACAAGGGGTAACTTTAGCACTCCACCATGCTTCCCGCGCGTTCAGTCTTTCCGAAATTGACTGATTTACAGTCAAACCCGTTTATAACGAACAGCAGGAAACGCTACGATCAGTTCGATATAGCAAAAACCATTACAACGAACTTCCACGGTACGTTCGTTATACATATATACACGAACTCATTTCTGTTACGTCACGGCGCGGTGGTGGCGCGTCGGACGCACTTCCGGTCCGGGGCTGTGGGCGGAAGTGCCCATCTAAGACGTGTATTCCTGCGTTGTTTTGAAAGGAACCAGACAAAAACAATTATTGTCAAAATGCTGCGACTGGGGCTGTACCAAAGGGCCGAGAAAGGTTTGAAGGCCAGTTTTCATGCGCTCGGTTCGTCCGAGAACGTGGATATATGCCGTGAAAAGGGAAAACCAGACGCCGTCGGACCACGATTGCTTGGCCGGGAAGCATTTTGGGTTAAATTCACGGATACTTATGGCCGTCAGATCTATTTGTTTTGTTCCAAAATGAACGCCGGAAAACCGTCAAGTTGTACGGACCACCTGCGGACTACGTTCAGTGCGTCTTCAAGTTCAAACGGTCGCCCGATCGTTCGAACTGTCTGCTCTTTCAAACGTTTCTGCTTGTCGTCTGCTCTTTTAGAGGACACCGGCCCGTAGACCAAACGTGGGCCCGGTACTTGCGATAAAGAGTAAGTGCAGGCCTCAAAAGACTTAACTTTGAAGGTTGGTAAGCAGGCTCGACGTAAACAGTAGATGCAAGGAGATGTTGATCATTGTTACCAGTGGCCGTCACCGACTTGTTATGCCTGATTCACTTGGTTAGATTCTGCTTGCGATTTTCAGTATCGACGTCGGCCATCTCAGCTACGGTTCACGCTTTTGCAGTCCGAGCGGCGTCGCTACTGAAAAGTGCAAGCGAAATCTCATCATGTGAATCAGGCTTTAGCGTAAATTCTGCGGCGTCCACGCGGAATGAATCGCCGCATGTCAGATTATTCACGCGAAGTTTTGCGGTGTAACGAGCCTCGTTAATTTCGCTGACGCCGCTCAAGTAGTCAGACATCGTTAGGAGGACGTAGAATAAACAATTCCAACGCGAAAAAGAGCGCGGAAACTCACACCGACGCCGAAAACATCGCATTTCAATGGTTTGTTTATGGGCGACGGCGAGCTTCTCGCCCACACCCCCATCGCGCATGCGCGGCGCCGGTGGCGTCCGCTAGGGGCGCTCCGGTTTGTTTGTAAACATGAGTCCGCCTTGTAACAACGCGCTAAAAAGATTATTATTATTATTTTTTTTTTTTTTTACATGCGTGGAGGGTTTGTTTTTTTTAGCTTATCTCCCCTTCTGAATCGCTTCTCTTCGTAGGCAACGGTTTTGGGATGCACATTTTTTTTTTTTTTTTTTTGTGCGTGCGTGTAGAGTATTTTTTAGCTTTCTTCCGTTTCTGAATCGCTTCTCTTCGCTCAATTTTGTTCGCAACTTGAGCTTTTAAACTTTTACATGTATTTTTATTTAAATTTCCCGCGAGTTCGATATCGACAATAATTCGCTGTATGTGGGTTCATTCTAAACGGGTTTCACTGTAGTGGTTTTCGATGATGCTCAGCAAGCTTCTAATCGAAACCGTGTTTATTTTTAATAATTCAAACATTGATCAACATATTTTAGTTAATTAGCACTTATTGTGATGATTAGCTCCCATATTATGTCCCCCTGGCTGTATAACACACTTGCACAAACCACATTACTGTAGTTTTCATGGAGTTTTCTAAACAAATCTGTAGAGCCTAAAAAAGAACACCCTGCATATCCAAATGATGAAATTTCACCTCCTCCACGTTTGCCACATGCATCCGAGAGAAACAAGATGGACAATTATCCGGCAACATTTTGTTTTCAAAACTGGACTGTGTTTGAGCAATTCTGTATTTCATGTTTTTCTATGAATTGGAACCCTGAAAATGAAGAACTCTATACACATCAGATATGTGCTTAACACAATTTATTGGCATTGAAAGTGTCGCACAACGCAAAACTGGGACATGTTGAATACGAGGCATGACAATTGGGTTCCAGAACCAATTCTTCCCCTCTTCATGCAAGAACACTGGGTCAGCTGCCACTTTCGGACATCTTGCACCACTAATGCCAGTGCTCGCGCACTGGTTTTCTCACACGCGGTTTTTGTCGAGAGAGCATAAACGAAAAACGGAGCATACACATTGTTGGTGAACCTAGGTCTCACAGATATCTCTGAGATGAAACAGGTTTACAGGCATCTGATAAATATGCGTGCACATCTATCAGAAGCTGAGTAGCCGAGGAGGTTTACAGGAGAGTAAATGGGAGTGCATGAGAGAATGTGTGCAACAAGATTGCAGCAGGCAGAAGCACTGGTGGAAAAGAGGCTGTTCATATCAATCAGTAAGAATACTATATAAAATTAATCCATGGAAAAAAAAAAATATCACAGCGGGAGCACTCTCTCGGCATAACTGGGACACGAGATGCCGTAATGCCATAATAAATGCCCATGTACACTCGCTTCCTAAGATATGCAAGAAAAAAGATACCCTACTTCATTCAGATTAATGGAGACTGTCACATCAATAGGAGTATTCAACTGGGAGATTTTTCCCCAACAGCAAGCAGGGCAGTTTCAAATAACAAAAATTTAGTTACATTAATACATTCACTCACACAACTTGTGAAACAATTTTTAGGAAAAAAAAAAAGTGCAAGAAACCCATTCTTCTGTTGGGTGCCTTGCAATTTCCTTCTTTTCAAAACTGAAGAATTTTAAAACTCAGCACCAACAGAAGTTATCCAGAGAGCACTGACTGAAGGAGCTCAGTCAGTCCCGACAGTGCATTCAAACATGGCAGCAATGTTAGCATCAACAGCCTTGCACAGATTACTTTGAAGCTAGCACAATCCTTAACTCAAAACTTACATGGAACCATTTCCTCAAATTCATCCGGGAACTTTGTTGTCAAACCTCATAAATCGTAGGTTTTGATTAACACGGAGTTTCTTATGCAGCTGCAACCTTCAATGAGCTCGTTTATCACACTTCTTAATGCTTGAATGCAAACAAGAAAAGACGAGATTGCTAACATGACACATGAAACAAAGAAAGCTCTCCAGCAATGGGAAACACAGAATACTTGCATAGTCATGTTTTCATTGTGCAATCTCTCATTTACCTTTATCATTCACCACGCAAAATCACACAAATATCTCTTACCCTGTACAGACGGTCAGTAAAAAATAACAATGCCATGCCAGTGTATAAAGAAGATGAGGATGCAAACACTCAAGTGACAACTGCATCAAATTGCAGTTAAAACAGACCACTGTCAGTTGACGAGCTGACAAAAAAAAAATATGTAAAGTCTTTAAAAATACGAAGTAAAAAAAAGTGTATAATACCTGACTGGGTCAACTGTACATTGTTTTTAATCTCATCTGCATATACGCTGCCTGAGCAGTAAAATAAATTAAACCCGGCATTCTCAACGAAACTGTGTCACCAAGGGCTGTGTAACTTTGAAGGACGTGGTTGCACAGCCATATACACAAAATCTTTGACACTGACCGCAAACTAAGCCCGCCAGGAGATCAAGCACCTTACCTGCACACCACATTTTGCTGTGCTGTGCAAGTTCACATCACAAACAAGTCAACTGGAATTCATTTCTTCTTTACAGACTTCTTCTTAGCTGCTTCCGTCAGAACTTTCGCAGCTGAAGCCTTCTGATTTTCGATGTGGCTTTCCAACTTCTGAACAATCGACCTCAGCTCGTCCTGTTTTAGGAAAAGGACAAAAACAAAGTGCAAATGCACGTTATACCCCATCTAAACAAACTGCACTATGCCAACTATGGCATGGCTCGGAACCATCATGCCAAGCTTATATTTTCTACAAATGGTTACAACAGGAGTAAGGAGAAGAAATCATTCCTGCAAAAATTATGCATCATGCAGAGAAGAGACTGATGTCTCAATGGCCTTTGCCAAAAGGTCTATGTAGTAAAATTAATAATGCACGTGCAGCATTAAAAAAAAAAAACAATTTGAATGTGTTTCTAGGTCTTGGTTTCCTATCAGAGTGCACCCTTGCAACAGAGGTCCTGCTCCCCACAGCCAAAGCGCACAACTAATGTGCAGGGGTGGTCCAACCAGTTTTGAGTAATTTTTGGAGCAGAAAAAAAACCCTGTTTTGGAACACCTTTGTAGCAGGAAAATGCTTGTTTCGGAGCAACTCTGGTGCAGCACCCACACAAGTTTGGAACAGTTCCGTGCAGTTTACTATTAAGTTACTTGCATTCATGTAATCAATACTGTGTGATGCCCATTAAAAGCCTTAAAGGGAAGCTAAAACACTTCTTTCAGAAAACGAGGTAGAGGTTGATTCTAGTGTAGTTTTATCCCGTGAGTCTGAATATCACGTTCGTTTTCCCCGAAGATGTTACTAAATGCGAGAAAACACGAAAAACCTCCGACCAGTCAAGACGTCAAAAAAGTATCTTTCGGTCGCCAAGCGCATGTGGCTTGAGGGCTGCGCGTGCAATTGCAAGCTTGCCGGCTCTTATCCCTTGCACTGGCATCGGTCGTGGTGTCTTTTTTTTTCCCTTTTTAAAAATAGCAAGAGTGCCTGTGAATAGCTTTGATAGGCGCTGAAGTTGTGCGAGAGCAGAGATTCCTAAAACTGCTTTTGTGACGTCAAATGAAAACGATTTAAGTGTGTTTCCTCAAATACATAACTGCTTCAGCTTCCTTTTAAGTTAGCAGTCATACTGTACTAGCCAAATTGCTTTTCCATGGCTGTAAAATAGTGCCACTAACTCGGTCAAATTTGTGTTTTGTTTCAATTAGTACTAGTGAACAAAGTTTAGCAGGATTGATGTGAGCTTGCTAACTATCACCTTTGAGCAGTCGATGTAAAGTACCAATGTAAACCTCCATATAAATAGAGGTATCACGTGACACGAAAAGCGGCATTTTTTTAACCTCATACCTCCTTAAGAGGTATGAGGTTAAAAAATGGGGGATGGGCGCTTGTCCGGTCATCAATTTTAAATATCAATGCACTGTGCATATTTTCTCAGATCTTACAAATTTGGGTATGGGCGCTTAGTCTGGTATGGGCGGATGCACGGTATTTTATGGTAACAGTTTCACGCTACTTAACACGTGCATGCAGAAAAAAATAATTATTTGAGGCTGTTCATCTTAACTAGTGTGCTCCGAAATGCTTCTGGATAAACCGTGCAGTAGTGATGCAAAACAATAGAAAAACTGACTATCAATGCTTTTTCCAATACTATTGATAGTGTCAAAAACTATCAATAGTGGACTACCGATAGTATTATCGATACTTGACTATCTATGGTCAAATATCAATAGCACTATCGATAGTACTAGGGATGCCGCAAACCACCCTAGGTTCGAATTCGAAAGGCTTCGATATTTTGTAACCGAACTGATGTTCGAATTCGAAAGGTTTCAATGTTTTCGACCGTACGGAGGTTCGCATGTAAAAAATTCGCAACTTTCAAAAACCGTGGAGTTTCGAATTCGAAAAGTTTGAAGCTTTCACGATTTCTAAAAGTTTGGGTTCGATTATTTTGAATATTTTTCTACTTGAGGATCGAGAAATTCGATGATTTTGAACTTTCCTAGCTTGAAATTCGAGAGATTCTAATGTTTTGAATTTCTTTGGATCTGAAGTACGAAAAATTTGAACGTTTCCAATTCTTATAGACATAAAGTTTGATAAATTCTAAGATTTAGAAGTTCTTTCTACATAAAGTTTGAAGGTTTCGATTCTCTCTTAGGGCTAAATTTAAAAAAAAAGCTTCGAAGGTCTCGAATTTATTTCAAGTCCAAGTGCGCAAAGTTTGAAATCCGGTTTTCATGTTCCGCCACAGTTTCAGTTTCAAATAATGTTTTCACGCCTCGCTGGTTTTCACGAAACCAGGTTTAGAAAAGTTTGGAAGTGATATTTTAAACTGCGCGAAGTTGGTCAGGCAATTAAATGAGATGACAAGTGCCCCGGATGTGCTGGAATATTTGCCAGTGCAGAGTGACATGTGACCATAGATCAGTAATTGTGACCGCCAGCCCGGGGGGGGGGGGGGGGGGGGGTCATTAACGTGCATCACGAAGTAGTTATCACACGAACGCACTGTTTAACGATACTCATCCAGTTCGAAACGGCCAGGGGCAGGCATGTGGTTGAGGCTCAGAAAAACCTTGAAGCGATCTGGCAAACTACCTCCCTACCCCCTTGCACGCTGGTAGTAATCCAATCGAATGCCACCCGAGTGACGCTGGCATATAGTACGTTTAGTTTGTACATGATGCAAAATCCTGAGACTGGGAATGAAATTTGAAAGAAAAAGTGTAAGAAGACAGAAAAAGGGGGACAGGACAGCACCTCAAACTCAGCTCTGTGAATGAAATTTGAAACAAAAAGTGTAAGAAGACAGAAAAAATAGGACATGACAACGTCTCAAACTTTGCTCAGGACAACGTCTCAAACTCAACTCAGCTGAAAACTCAGTTCAGGACAATGTCTTAAACTCAACTCAGCTGTGTTTGAGACGGTGTCCTGTCTCCATTTTTTCTTTCTTCTTACACTATTTCTTGCGAATTTCATTCCCAGTCTCGGGATTTTGCATCATGATCAACATACACCAGCTCACCTGCACCTTGACAATTTTTTAGTTTGTAATTGCTTTGGAGGTTTATTTTCCGGGATGGAAGAAACGCCGAGCAAAAAGCACAGAAGCTGACACAACTTGATGTCGAGGAGCGTTCTACCATGCCTGTGGCGTCGGAAAAACAGTGGGGGGGCTCCAGTCCCTCCCCCCCCTTCCGCCCAGATATTTTGGACTGTTAAAGAAAACAATACGGGGAAAGACGGCATGGTCGAGCTTATTTTAGTCTGAAATTATTTATGCATATGTATAGCTACTGTCGCTCTTCACTCCATAAAAGATTGCGTAGATAATCATTGTTAGAAACCCGTTGTCAGAAGGCACTACTCGTCACATGCTCGGTGGTTCGGAAGTTCAAAGCTATGTCTTTTCGACCTAAATAACTGTGCCATTGGTAAAAAATAATAAATAAATAAACATAACAATAAATGCAAAAATAAAAAGCTGGAGAGAAAAACAAAAACTATCAAAAACCCGTCGGAAGTGTTGTATTCTTGCATATTCAGAGGCCCAGAACTACAAAACAAGTTTCTCCTACCAAAATGCGCACAGGCTATAAGAAACACATCCAAAAAACGTAAAATGAAAAAAAAATATATATTTTTTTTATTTTTATTTTTATGACGTGCTGAATTTGAACAATTATTTTCTATTGTGCAGATGATAATGATATGTACTGCCTGTGGTGCTAATTTAAATGCGATACCTCAAACAATTCAGACGAAAAAAATTACCAAGTTTAGGGCATAATTGCCCATAGAGACATGTTTGGATATTTCTTCAAAACTCGTCTTGAATAACAATAATCATATCTTAAGACGACACTTACCTAGGCTATACATAGATCATTCTTAAAAAGTTTAACATCCCTACCATAAATAGCTTCAACTATAGCGCGCTTCAAATATGGCACAAACGACAATTGTCAAAAACCCGTCGTCCTTCCTTGCTCCTTGGGGAATCTATTTCTTTAAAACCAAGCATGCCAGATGATTGAAATAAACGGCATTGTCTTTCACAAGGAATGCGGCACCGCAAGTAAAAATTTGAAAAAAAAAAAAATTATGAATGTACCTTACTGCTTCAATCCAAACGAAACCGCCCGCCAGTCTTCCGAAGTTCGTCAAACTTTAGACTTTTCAGGAATCGAAAGTTCGACAATTTTCGAATTCTTTAAATTAATAAGTTCGAAATTTCGAAAATTATCAAATTTCTTAGCATAGGAAGTTTGAAAGTATGAAAAGCTTTGAACTTTTTAGTGCAAGAAGTTAGAAAGTTCGAAAATCATAGAATCTTTTAGTTTATCAAGTTCGAAAGTTCGACAAGCATCGAATTTTGCAGCGTAATAAGTTCGAAATTTCGAAAAGTGTCGAACTTCTTAGTTTAATAAGTTCGGAAATTCGACTTCCGTCGAATTTCTCAATATGGAAAGTTAGAAAATTCAAAATCTTTCTAACCGCTTGATTCGATCTTCGAACCTTAGGTTCGAAAAAAGTTTGCGGCATCCCTAGATAGCACCATGGATAGTATTATCGATAGTTGACTATCGATAGTACTAGTGATAGTGCAATCAATAGTACTACTGAAAGTTGGTTTTTAGTCAACTATCGATATATTGAAAATCAGCTTCCAGAAAACTATAGAGTGTAAGGAAAATTTAAGCACTACCCAAAAAAGGAATGATGACAGATATGTATGGGCAGACAATGCGTGGTTTTGGAAAAAAAACATGAAATTGAAAGAAGCCAAAACAAAATAGAGTTGCATTCTCATACAGTTAATATAGAAGTAAAACAGAAATGGCAGTTTGCTAGTTTTCCTGTGCACATATTTTGTATATTCATGGGGTTCAGATATCAGGCCTCACACTTTAGTAGGCCCGCATATGTAAAACTATTCAGTATATTCAGTATTTTTTTGTTTTTCTTGGAGCGAGGTAAAACACTTGCCAAGGACAATTAGCATCAGGGTTTTCACATTTAGCATCAGTGTTTCCCTTATTATTAAATTGACACATATTTCTTTTCATAGCCTTGACTACTGACAGGTGAAAATAAGCACCCAGCTGGGGATCATCATAATTTCTATTTCTCCTGATGACCATTTATAGCGAATTCCCGAAAATTGAGACTTAGCCGTTCACAAAAGTACTTAGGCATGTATGCCACGATATGTTGCCACTTTTCGTTCTGTTTTATTTTGGTATATTTTAATAACAGTGGCTGGGAAAAGATTTACCTGTTGGTATAAAATACAACTTCAAAATACAGAACCTGGCACATAATCTATAAATACCTATATTTGAATCAATAAATGTAACAAAAATTGTTGTTCTGCAGACTTCAAATTAAACATTACCAGAAAAAAAAAATGCTTACATCAAGAAAACATAGTTATATTAGTTACTGATGCTTTTAGTATTTCCACTCTTCAAATACAATTAGTTTGAGAACATAATGTTAACTGGATTAAAATAATTGATAAAAACAAAAATTTCTTCTGATTTAAGTATCAGTTTTGGTGGCAATGAGGCCTTATTTCAGTGAAAAAGGCTTAGGAATCAAAAAGGCCATAGTATTTCCTTTCTTCCTCGCAACCTGTTTGTTTCAAAAGAATGCTACACTAATATTTTCATCCGGGTAAAGTCATGTCCCCATACTTGCACATTCAATCACCATTGCTAGCATTATTCAAGCAGGGTTCTGGATTCATGCAAAACATGTATAGTTTACATACCAGGGGTGACAGGAATATAGATTTTTCTGATTGAGCTCATAGAAAGCAAAGGGCACACCCCAAAAAGTAATCTAAAAACAGCAAAAAAACGTCAACCCATCAAGGTGATATCGTTAATTCATATTTTTCAAAAGTACACATTAGATATTTTAATGGTTTATTGTCAACAGTTTCTAAGGAGGATTTCTATCGTTTTGTTATTTTTTTTCCAATACATTTTAGATTGTTCCTCGATAATTATGCGGAAGTCCCCAATTCCAGTTGCGGTTTTCATCGAGCTACACAACATTTCCTGGACGTTCTTCATTCGTCACCTAATAAAACCCCATTGATATCATTATGAAAGTTGAATATCAATAGCCTATAAACAATTCCACGATAGTCGACTATTGATAGTATGCTATCGAGTTTCATGACAGTCAACTATCGACAGTTTTTTCACTATCGATACTCAAATTTGGCTTCCACTATCGATAGTATTGATAGCATTATCGATAGTTTTGCACCACTACTGCACAGCACTAGGGCTTTATGGTAAAATTGGTGTGAAACAATGCTGCAGAGCTGGAAACCTGAATTGGACTGTGATGGCTAAACCGCACTGGGTTCTCATAGTTGTCCGGTGAAAACAAAAGCTCCACCAAAAACCAATCCCTTCATGAATAAATGGGCTGGCATAATTGCTCCCTTAGGGTGCAGCAAGGTGCACGCAAGCAAGCGGCACAAATGGCAAATGGTGCAGTTGGATTACCCCTTAACTTGACACCACACACTCTTTACATTACGGAGGTGAACCAAAGAATCAGTTTATTCTAGCAATATCATTTGAACAGCACAGCGTTTGATTTTGCTGGCTTGAGCTACACTTTCTTCTCTCCTACAAGGGGGTTCAGGTAGTAGCTGGGAGCTCTAGTCAGAGGCCATTGGCATAGAATGCGTCCAAAAAAGTGCTATCGGAATGCTATTAAATGCAACTCATACCTTATATTTTTATAAAGGGGGCCGATTTCATGGTTATCAATGAAGCCTAGAAAGTTTCTTATTGAGACTATACCTTTAAACTTACTAATTAAAAAGTTAATTACTCAACAGTGACTAAAATCCCAATTAAGCCAAAAATTATTTGTTTTTCTACATAGGCCCGGCATGTTCCCACCAGCAAGTCACAGCTGTCGCGAAAGCGACAACTTTTGTCGCAAAAGCAACAGTCGCAAGTCGAGAAAGCGACAGGTTTGAAGCAGTCGCTTCCAGACCGAATTTTGCGACTTGTCGCGAAGTCACCCGGCGGCCGAACCAATTAGCGGCACCTCGGAAGTGATGCGAGAGTCCCTCGCATTTGTTTGCATCTGGCACGCCAAACTTCTGTGGGAGAGACCGATATGTCCGTTCAACGCCTTGGCACCTCAATCTGTGGTAGTGGCTGTGGATACAAAGCCACGGAGGTGGCAACTCTGGTCAGTGCTATTAAAGAATCTCCATTGCTTTATAAACACAGTGCCCGATTTGAACGAGCGCCCAAGAGAGAACTGGGACTGGCAGAAAATCCGTACCACTTCTTGACAGGTATGTACTGAGACGCAATAGCTTGAGCGAGTGCACGCCGATGTAGCGATTGGGCTTCTTTGTACAGTTTTGGAGGACCCAGGTAAACATAACAAGTCTTTTTCATATGGCAACGACAAGGCATCTGTAGCTGTGAGACAGCGAAAATGTGAAAGCACGGAAACGCAAACCCGAGCTGTGGCGGGGCGCACTGAATTAACGGCAGCTCCTGAGAAGCGACTCGCCGGTCACTCGCAGTGTAATTGTCAGTGGTCACTTGTCGTATGTCACTCTCGTGACTGTCGCTAGTTGCTAGTGTGGACGCGCCTTTAAACAAAAACCAATAAAACATCAGCTTTCTTTTTTTTTTTTTTTTCTTTTTTTCTGTGCCATTCAGTTTCTACGAAAATTATTTGGCTGGCATTGTAAAAAATACCCTGTATATAGGCAACTTAGGATGGTTTCCTGTTTATCTAATGATCAAATTTATTGAATAATCCGAATGTACTTTTTCGTTTACTCTATTTAAACTGAACCGACACTCAAGAAATTCTAAAACCGAAATTAGGGGTGGCTACCTATTCAAACAATGAACTTGCCCGTGTATGCCATTAATGAAAAAACTTCGAAATGTAGAGAACATACCCACCACCTTTTCAATGGGTGGTTCGCAAGAAAGTAATACCTACGGTAAAGTCGCCCTCCTCCGAGATATTGACCATCCCATTTTTCTGGCTAAATATCCATAACATAAAAATTCTGAAACCTCCCCCCCCCCCCTTTTTTTTTTGGATTCCCGTTGGACATCAGATGTCAGGGAATTGCACCAGTCCTGTGATTTGCGATACCAGGACACGTGATAAGCAAGTTTGTAGAAGGTTCTCACTTTACTTGTTTACGATCTGCGTGCGCGATATTGGTTCCCATGATATGCGAGTTTCTAGCAGGTTCCCACGGCTTTATCGCACCGTGAAATGAGAATCTCTTGCGTCTGATCAGCGGTATCCGTTTCCAAGATATGCGAGTTCGTAGCGGGCTCCACCATTCCTTTGTCCACTATCTGTGTGCGCAATATCGGTTGCCGCGACACGAAAGTTTGTAGCGGCTCCTGCGCGTTTGTCGTATTGCGAAACACAAATCCGATACGCCCGTGATCCGCGGTATCAGTTTTCGTGACACGTGCGTTTCCAGTAAATTCTCATGTGTTTAGCAAACCTTAAATGTGGATCTGATTCGTCCGCGACCTGCAGTATCAGTTCCTGTGACACTGGAGTTCACAGCGAATTCCCGCGTGCTTATCGCACTATGGAACGCGAATTGGCTGTGTCTGTGGTATCAGTTCCCGTTTCACATAGTTTGTAGTGGGTGCCCAGATGTTCATCACCAATTTTTAATAAGATTTTGCTCTTGCACCTCCAACGATCGCCCACCCGATATTTTTTACCATTTATCGCTTCACTTTGGGTGGGTGTTTTTACGGAAATTTCCTGTATACATATTTGCCACTCCTGGGCCCTACCAGAGGTCGGCATTTTAGGTCGCCCTCACTCACCCTCACCCTCACAGCCACACTCACCTAAGCCCCTCACTCACCCTCACCCTCACAGCTACACTCACCTTCAGCCCCTCACTCACCCTCACCCTCACAGTCACACTCACCTTCAGCCCTTCACTCACCCTCACTGAACCTCACGGCCCTCACCGCCCTCATGGCCCTCACACCCCTCACGCCCCTCACCGCCCTCACGACCCTCACGCCACTCACCGCCACTCACCGCCCTCACGGCCCTCACGGCCCTCACGGCCCTCACGGCCCTCACGGCCCTCACCCCCCTCACGGCCCTCACCGCTTTCACAGCCCTCACGGCCCTCACGGCCCTCACTCACCCTCACACTCATGAATTTTCCTGGTTCAGAAACTCACTCACCCTCACCTCACCTGTGAAGATGAGGGTGAGTGAGGGCCCTCATGAGTGAGGTTTGCCGAGGTATGGGCCCTACTAGCCTGGCCACCTTCAACACACGAGGTCATCATCAAGCAAATAATAGATGCTAAATATTGCAAACACAATAAGTAGGGAAATAAGCACAAATGCACAGGAAAAGCATAAACAGACCATGTCATAGCTGTACAGGAGTTTCCAGGACTTGAGGCTCCTCTTCTGTAAACTCTGCACCGCATGCTCAAGGCAGTATAGTGTGTCATCGTGGATATTTACAACCTGCATCCAGAAAAAAGACACACAGTATAAAGAACGACTTGGGAACTAGCTGCTTTGGCAACATCTCACTCACATTATTATTAGTGCTCTTTAACTGAGAACACACTGTAGTTTCAAAAGCCGAGGGTTCCAGTAAGAAGGCACCCACAGTCCTTGCAGCTAACTGCACTACTTTTTAAGTACCTGGGTTGTAAAACATCTACCGTAAAATGCCGGGCAAGCGCCCACTCAAAATTTCAAGATAATCATGAAAAAAGGGGGGATGGGCCCTTGTCCGGTCATCAATTCTACATATACATACGTACAGTGCATATTTTCTCAGATCTTACAAATTTGGGTATGGAATGAGTGCAAGCGCGGTACTCTACGGTAGGTGCAAGTAAATGCAAACCGGTAAATAAGTACTTTTTCCACACCTAGGGACTTTTATTTTATTTCTCAGAAACTATGACTGTAGTTTAAGTACAATTTCCAGTGACTTGCAACTATGGTAAGTACCTTCTCTGCAGATACTTTTCTGTTATCAGAAGCAAAATCAGGAAGGACTCGTATTTGGAAAGAAGGGCTCTACATGCTGAAATCCTACCAGGGGCTCTAAGTTGGAGACTCAGCAAGATAGTCAACGAGACTTCCGACCATTGCAATTGGCCAGTACCAATTGTGGCAGTCAGCGATCTTGCCCACTTTCTCGCCGAGTGTCCAACTTAGAGCTCCAGGACACTGCGGTCCATACATTTCTTAACATGAATGTTTCATCTCAAGCAAGGTAGAAACATCAATCAAAATGCTCATGATATAAAATATCTGGGATGAAGGGTCCTTCCTTGGGCGAAGGACTTTGGGATCACCCCTAAAGAGGATGGACAAATTGCACCGTTGCAACGGAAGCTTTGTAATACAATTAAAGGGGCCCTGCAATCATATTTAAGCGTCTACCTTTTTTGCGGTTTCCACGTCTCTTGGGGTTGGGGCAAGCCAGCGGGCACGGAGAGAGTAACTAAATATCAGTGCGTCATATTTTAACGGGACGACGTGGAAACCTCCTCCACCGACGAGGGCGACCCGCGGTACCGAAAGCGCGCAAAATGTGACGTCTTTGGTCCTAAGCTTGCCACTGGTCAAAGCCGCTAATAGCTTTTTTTTAGTCGAGATACAAAATATAAGTGTCGCGAACCGTTTCAATTATGTATGAAAGTAGTTTTTGTTAACTATTTTAGATCAGAAAAGAAACAAATGCAGTTTAGAAAGTACGGAAACGAGAAATGACCCGTTGACATACCCGCCACCAAGCGGCGGAAAAAAACGGCGCATACTAGAAAAGGCTAGTGGGATGAGGCTACGACAAACGAGGAGCGTAGAAATGTCCCGGATGTACGCGGCGGCGCTGTGGTCGTATACTGGCTCAAGAATCCGACCGGTTCCGAGCGTTCCGAAGGCCTTCGGCGCGGGCCGTGCTGGCGATTTGGCCATTTGGCGGTGCGGCAGTGCGAAGTGGCTCCCGTTCTGAACTGATCTTTACCCCGTGTTTGCTGTCGTTTGTGGCCAATGAAATGTTATGCTGAATTAGTGTTTGGTCGCGCTGCAAATGCAATGCGAGCTGCCCTGGCCGCCCGCTTCATACAGCCTATCCAACACGTGCTTTAGTGGCGCCCTCTCGAGCCGTCGACACGGAGTGCGGCAGCCGTGTGCGCTCGATGAGCTCACTACTCCTCCTCTAGTTCAAGGCTACTCAAGGCAGGACCTACGACGTCATGAAGGAGGTTATTTTTTGCTTGTTTTTGTAATTCTAATTTGCCTATAACTTTTAAAATAAAGTGAAATTTGAGAAAAGAAAAGTTGGATTAAGTTACTACGTTCAGTACGCTCAGGTTCAGTGCAAATTAAAAACCAGTCAAAAAGTCATTGCAGGGCCCCTTTAAGAGGTTAGTTGGTATAAGCAATGCTTACCGTAGTCCTCGAAAAAATAAACCGAGGAAGTTTATTTGTATTTCCTTGTTCCTCGTAATTGTCCCAAGTTAAAATATTACTCAAACATCCGCCACAAAATAATAAAGAAAAAGGATTTGTGGAGAGAAAAGAGTACCTCCAAGGTATAACTGCAGTTGTTATTACCGAAGTCGGTTATAACGAAATAACGTATATATAGCAGAGTGATTTCCGATTCCCGTTGACTTTGTTATAACCGGTCTCGGCAGTGTCTCTGCCCAACCCTGGTTCCTGGTTTATATGTTTTCCCAGCTGTTATGTTCATGAACGCTGGTGCCATTGATTTTTCAAAGTGTGAAAGCTTTTAAATTGAGTTCCCAGGAACAAAAAAGATTCCCCAAGCACATAAATTATCTCAGTCGTCCCAATCACAAAAAAAAAAAAAAAAAAAGTTTTCCCACTTTAAGCAATATTTTAGCAGGTCTGAGCCATGCATTGATGCAAGCTTAGAACCGAACACATCCTAGTGTTTGGTTCTGCTTAAATGTAACAATGCTCAAGTGGCTGGGGGGTTCCTTGGCTGTCATTCAAGGCAGAGAGGTGTTCCTTGAGAGCAAGAAGTGAGAACCCTTCCATATGTGTGTCACTTTTTCCCATTGGTTTTGTTCATCCTCTCGGTTCGCACCCTAAAAACCGCCACCCAATACGGCCAACTCAACATGATGGGCTGCACAGCTGTCCTCTGCTTTTTTGTTTAGCTACACCTTCTTTTTCACCTCTTTGATTCTCGAAGCTGTGCATCTCGCCTGAGTGGATGTGACTTTGGGCTAAGCTTGGAAGGAATTCAAACTTTCATAACACCCTATTTATCTTTCCATCTCTTTTCCCAACATGTTTGCATGGGTCTGTTATGCTAAGCGCCGCTGGTTCCACCAATTTTCGTGGAGTTCAGACTGTGTGTCCAATGGTGATAATGGCATCGCAGACACAAAAAGCCTCTCACCTTTTAGGTGAAAGTTTATATAAAAATTATTTCACAGTGCACCCAATTCCTTTAGCTAAAACTTGCTCATTGGCCAGTAATCGCCTGAACTTCTAGACAATGGTGCCGTGGCATTGTGAGATTGTAGCAATGTCGCGAGAAACAAACTAAAATGCTGCAAGGAGGCACTTCACAAAATGACTGGACAGGGGCTGCTGTGATAAGACAAAGTGAGTTTCCTACTCCTCATAATGTCACATGATTATCGCATCAACCACATGCCTCCACACAGTGGCATTTGCACTGCGCTGCTCACATTAAGCTTTAGAACTTTGCATTAGCGCATGACCATCAAGCTTCACTGCCTTTCACAGGCATGCTACAAACAGCAGCTGACGGTACCCCCTCTCTCTTCCTTCTCACTGAGCAAAGAGGGAAGGTAGTTTCTTCGTATCAATTTCGTGGGCCGAAGATAACCCACGATGGCGACAAAAGTGAACTTTGGTAGAGCTCATCTAGGTCACAGCGGCTCAATGGGAAAACAGGATGTAACTGACGTTTTGGGTGTTGAACGGGTGAGAGAAGCCTTGGGTGCGTATTGTTCTCTAGCCACTTAATCTCTAACCAAGTCGCATGCCTAGGTGGCAGCACATATTTGCAAAAAGCTGGAATATAAATCAACTTCAAAGAAAAGTTAAAAAAATAAATAAAGAGAGACCTATATTTGAAGAAATACACTAATTTCAACTGACACGAATGTCTATGTGAAATAGATTGTTGAGCAAGAGTTGTTTCCTGTCTCATTACAAGAGCATTATCAGTTATGTTTACCCGGATCATAATTTTTTTTTTTTTTTTTTTTTACCGAAGTCCTTTTAAAAACCTATGAATGTGGTTCAACACTATCTAGATACATACCCGAGGTACACTTGGGCATGAGTAACTGTATCTTGGGTACATTTTTGGAACACCTCTTACAACTCTGGTGTTCTCCTCATTGGTGACTATTCCTTAAAGGGGAACTGGGGAACTCCACCAATTTTTTTATAATCTTCGGTTTGGCTGGAAATAGGCAGACCACATCAATACCCCTTTCTCAACTATTAGCCAGAATATTTTATAAAAATAAAACTTTTTTGTGAAGTTTTTTCATATTCAAGTTACGCCGGTCGCGAGGGTTTGAGGAGGCGACTCTCTCCTGGCAACATTGAAAAATCTATATATTTTTTTTTCCTACCTGTGTAAGTCACCAGCGGGAAGCGGACGAGCGACTTGGGAAGCTGCAAAGAGGCTTTCCCGGTCGCCAGTGATCGAGATTATTTTTTTTGCAGCTTCAAGGCTTAAAGTTCCTTTGCAATGGGTAGCAGTCTGTGCTCCGAGGTAGTTTGCATGAACAATGCCGAAAAAATCTTTTTTACCCATGTTTTCGTGGGAGAAAAAAAGAAAAAGTCCTCCCCGGCAGCAGTGCACAGTATCTATATTTAAGTTGGTGTGCATTTCATAAAATCTGTTCTATAAGGAATATGTTCAATCTTCATTATTTTACTTGCACGGTAGAATCGGTAGAACTTTTCTTTCTGAATATCTGGGAGCTAAATATGCCTGCGCGTTAGAATCGTGCAAACACAGTACATGCCACACGCACAAACGCTGAAAATGGCACTGACCAGAAGCGCTTTTTGGAATGGTCCGTAGACGTTTTGCTAAATTCCCCAAGTACCAAGGAGCGTATGCATGCCACAAGAGTAGTTACAAGTGCTGGCGCCTGCAACCGTAACTTTTCTAAACAAAATCTAAAACAAATGGCACATTCTTTCAAGTAAGATGAGCGTGCGGGGCACCTGTACCCACATTCCAAGCATTCTATGTGGTGCTTGGGTAATTTGTAAAAAACAATGTATTGCACGACTCTTTGACCTTTCTTTGCCAGCGTGATTACTTGTTTCTGATAGAAAGAGAACGGATTTACACTAGCGATTTCACAAAACTAGCGAGCCGTGGCTAAGCATATATTTTTTTTTTTTTCTCTTAGTGTAGGCCAAGGTCATACTTCGTGCAAAAAGAGATTATAATCAACTTCAAAAAACACCAATGCCCCTGTTTTCTCGCTGTTAGATGTGAGAAAGGCGGGCGACAGTGTACCCGATCTCCGGCCGCGCGCCTCGCTTCCTGCCGGAAACGACACGTTTCGATGGCAGGAAAAACTGGGGAAAAACTAGGGAGAACTAAGTTTCAGTTTCGATAGCGAACAAACTATCACTTTTTTTTATTGACTAGGGTGAATCTGGGGGAACGAGACAGCATTTTGGAATCGGGCAGCCGTCCACATTCAGATGATGCCATTAGAGTAGGTAGCTTAAAAAATCGGAGGAGTTCCCCTTTAAAGAGCCTTCAATTCCCAAAGACAGTTTCTTTTTGTAAAAGAATTTGTAGTTCAGCAAGTTTTGTCCTTTACATACAAGATAACTGACTGGGGTGTCAATACGACCCTATGAACTTTTCTCTACAGAGTCGCATAGTTTTCTAAATTAAGCAAAAAGCCTATCACAATCAAGATTTCCATTTTCGATTACACACATTTTGTTCAAGACAGTAGTTCAGGTCATGAAGAGTAGGATGTCGCTTGAACAAGAGGGAAGGCTGAACAGGGTGCAGTTTGTTTACAACACCACACACTGAGCAAGCACCTACCATGGACACATGGCAGCTGATGCGGCAGGTTTCACAGCCCTGTTCGTTCTCCTCTCTGCGCAGCCGCGGTCGTTTGACCTTCTTGCGATCCACGACTTCTTCCTTTGGCACCCGCTCAAAGGTCTTGAGCCCCAGGTCAGACAGCTGTCTGCGGTACCTATGCTCTTCGTCACTGCAAGATGCCCAACACATTTGATCCGGGTTGCGTTTCGACTTCTTTATTACTGCTTTATGGTCAGTGAAATGCAGAGCCAGTGGTTCTAGCGGATCAGCTTGGATCCGCTAGAAGCCGTGGGAATGCATCTCCATGTCCATGTAAGAAAGAGAATGAGTGTACGGAACGTGGTTATGTATGCATTTGAGCATTTGACCACAGCATACTCTCGTCTATAAACGTTCAGCCAATGCATGCAAATTTTAACGAGATTATATACGCATTTGACCGCAGCGCCCCCTCCTGTATAGACGTTGAGCGGCTACATGCAACGTTTCATCCATGACAGAAACCCCAGCTTTTGAGTTATTACCACATCTCAGAGCCCCCTACTCGTCCCGCAGTGTGGCCGAGTGATTAAGGCGATGGACTAGAAATCCATTGGGGTCTCCCCGCACAGGTTCAAATCCTGTCGACTGCACAAACATTTTTTCTTTTTATGTGAGCACGGACTGACGGACGGACGGACAAAGCTAGACCCTAAGGAGCTTCGCCCCTGAAAAGAAAACGCACACACTAGCAATGTTTCACTTGTTGAGGTCGTTGTGCAGAAGGAACAGAATATTGACAACTCGGACGGATTCAGACTGGTTCGCCTCTCAAATTAATACCCACTAATGAGAAGCCACTTTCCGTTGGTGCACTTGATGCTAAAATGGTATGCACAAACGCGTTACAAAAATGGGCTTCGGAAACTTGTGCTGGCACAAGTTCCACCACTCCAGAAGACTGAATTCAGTCTCCTCAATATATAATTGTAGGCGAAGAAGCCACTTGCAGGATTGTACATTTTATGTTTTCTTGGTCCAAAGAATGTTTTCCGCACTTGCCCTGTCAAACAAGAACACGCTTCCCGGGACAACTTACAGTGCTGCATTCTTTTTCTAAGGGCACTATTTTTGGTGAGATAGAATGTTCTAAAGCAATCTTTGGTGAGAATGAAATCTTTCTTGACCTAAAGAACAAATTTCTCCCCCATTGGCATCTTTTATCTCAGACAGTAGTTTGCCCCCTCACTACATACGATGATGCACTTCATAGTATCACTCCCTTATCCATTCTAAACTGTACGGTCGCACACGTTTATAGGCTGCCTTGGCAAAAACGGATCCGGACCCACGGATATTCGCGTCCGATCCGCATCTGCAACCCCTGGCATCCACATCCGAACCAGAATCCGCCAAATCTGATTCAGTTTTATCCAAATCCGCCAGCTTACTACGGATATCTGCGGATAATCTGCGGATATGCAGGGCTCTAAAATTATGCGTCCACTTAAATTGCAAGGAAAAAAAATCTTTTAGAGAGCACTTTATGGACAGAGTGTCGCTGACTCCCGGGACAATCTCATAACTGCAATCACTTTTTTCCAGTAATGCGGAGTATCTCTGGAAGGACGATCACTTCTAATATAAATATGCTAGAACAAAACATGTTAAATTGACTTTCATGGTATTTTGACTCTAAGAGTTTTTTTTAAAAACATAAACGAACGGCTTATAAGTAGAGTTCCGTGTTTTCAAAAGTTGTCTTCGAATTTGGGGATGTTTTTTTAAGGGTTCATTTTCTCTGAGACTCGGGGTTTTTCGGCATCAATTTTTTGTATCGAACAAAAAATCAAGGTTTATCGGCGGCTTGTGTTAAAAAAGAATAGGCCACGGACACGGGATATGGATTACCCAAATATATGGAAAACGCTAAAGAAACGAGGTAAGATGTGTGGTTCTGAAGCAAGAAGCCTAGCGGACAGTGAATTGGGGGTTCCAGGTCAACACAAAATAAAGCTTTAGAGAAAGAGTTTCTTTCCGTGAAGCTAGACATTTTTATTTTTTTTTATTCGGGGAAAGATTCAATTTTAGGTTCACCAGTTTTTCCCGATTGTTATAAAGTCGCCTCGGGAGTTCATTTTCGGGGTTTATCGTTACCGTTACCGAAAAATTCAGAGGACACCGAAGCACTTTTTACGAGTTCTGAATGCGAATGCATTCCCAGCGCAGAAAGGAGCAAAAGCGGCCGCAGCGCCAGCAGGGAGTGCGGCGGAGCGCCACGGGGTGAGGCAGCGGTGGGAGTGCAAAGCTCGGCGCAGTGCGTGCTGAAATCACGTGCCCTCTCATCATCATCATAGCCCCAGCTGCGGGTACCGGTTGACGACGTTAGATCTCAAAGCGCAATGTAAGGCCTCACGTCAGGCCAGCACATACCTGCGTTAACGCTTTAGATTTACTAATTTAAAGGGGAACTCCGACAGTTTTTTTTTTAGCTACCCAAACAAATTGCATTTTCGGAATACCCGGACTTTAGTCTTCACGGTATGCTATTTATTTCCTCGAAATTCAAAATAGCAATTAAAAAACCCGTAAATGAGGACGATACCGAAACCAGCATTCAAATTTCTGCGTGTGCTCCAGTTGTGTGACATCCCAAATGGTACTAACCTTTAGGTCACACAGGTAGTCTTAAACATGGTATGTCGAGCGTTTTTTGCATGCTTCTCAGTGAATCAGCTTCCAAGCATTCTTTTCCCACCATCAAGCATCTTGCAATCAGTTGGGAACATGGCTTACTGCTCACATTGTACCATTTCTGTCGTTACGCTTCAGTGTTGCCAGTAGGGGCTCTTGGTTTGAGAAACATGATAAAAGCGAAATTTGAAAATTCAATAACTTAGGAAAATATTTTCTTTTCACACAATACTTGGAGAACTGGTACAGCCGTGTCTATCGGTGTGTTGAAATTTAGAGGCAAACCAGCGACCACGAAAAAATCGCTAGAATACCCCTTTAAGCACATTGTGGATGCGTTCGGGTGCAGATACAAAGTCTGCAGACGCGGATCAGATGTGGATGATCAAGCAGTTATCCTCACAGGGCTCTACCTATAACCAGTAAAATACAAAAGAAAAAAAAAGAAAAACAAACACTGATTTAAAGGAACTTTAAGCTCACAGTCACAAAACATGAGGATTGACTATGTCCAACTGCAACACAACACGCACCACATTCTGCGAAGGAGAGGAAGGGTCCGCTGGCATGTCTCCAGGTCTTCCTTCAAGTCTGTTCCAATGCCCAGCAGCAGCTTCTCCAGTGAGAAGGTTGGGGGTTCACAGCTGGCCTTGATATGCTGCATCCAGTGGGGGTGTGAGGTGATCAGTCAAGTGCGGCATTATACTACCTGCTCATTGTGGAAAATAAGTTGGAATTTTACTTTTAGTGCCATAAGAACAACCCAGTTAGCCTGCAGACCCTATGTCAGGCTTGCCGACCTCCACACATAAAAATCTATGGTCTATAAAACCTACATTTATGCTTCCAGTACACCCAGGAAAGGTCATCCAGATAGGGCCGCACGTGACTACTGTAAAATACCGGGCAAGCGCCCACTCAAAATTTAGAGATAATCGCGAAACAATGGGGGATGGGCGCTTGCCCAATCATCAATTTTACCTATAAATGTACTGTGCATATTCTTTCACATCTTAGAAATTTGGATATGGGCGCTTAATGTGGAATGGGAGAATGCGCGGTATTCTACGGTAAGTGAATCTACCAATAAAGTAGAACTGAAAGTTACTTCTCTGTGTTCTTTGCTGCGTTACACTTCGAACTCGGGGAAAAAAAGCTGTCTCAGGACAAAAACAAAAAAAATTGAGGTGCGTTATATTATCTGTTTGGTAGTGTATGAAGCACTGCCAGTAAGTAAGAACTGTTATTGAAATACAAAAGAACTACAATACTAGTTTATTGTTATTTCCTCTGAATTCTGCATACCTCAATTTACTTTTCAATGTAATCGCCTTCACTGTTTCACTGGTAAGACTTGAGCCACCTCTCAACTTTGCCTTCATGTTATTTGTGGTCCTAAAGTATTTCTGCAACAATTTCATGAAGTAATGATCTTAAAACTTCAGAGACATGCATTGAAAGGCCAGAAATTGTAAAGTGTTAGTTGCCCTAAAACTTTAATTCCCTCTCTCAGCCAACTCTTCCATGACACGAGAAGGCCTACTTTCTTATGAATCATTATGGATGATCTGTCAACCTTCGATAAACATTAGAACGAATTCGGGCACCATTCGTTCACTTATTGCATTTTGTCCTTAAATATTGCAAATTTGCTAAAATGTCACATGGTGCAACACTTCTCGATCAAAAAATTATATCACGGGCTGGACTTCACAGTGGGCGGGCCATTCTATCGACTTAGCAAAGCACATATTGTAGATATGATCACAATCTCACGAAAAGGTGTGAAGGAGCGACTAATGGATGACGGAACACAACTGCATATGCATAACTCCCAAGCAAATTCTTGCACAGGACCCATGCACAAACGACACTTACTTTCTGAACGCGCCTCAAACAATGGCCACATTTTTACTTGCGTAAGTGTGAATTAGAGTTACTCATTCACGAAACACGCACACATGCATGCATGCGCATAATCTTGTGAGGACCACTTCTCCAAAAAGAATGGCAATCAGCTTGACCTGCAGCCAGATGTATCAAGGATCTTGCTCTAAACAGTGACCTCGTCAGGCACTCTGACTGCCTTTAGCTATGATCCAACCGACCCGACTCAACCCTCAACCCTCGACCCCTCCCCCCCCCAAACAATACTAGCAAAAGGATTGTCTTGAATAAACACACTAACAGTAACAACAGCCTACTACACTAGCACTATAATGGCCAAATCTGCAAGCCTATAAATCAGGGTGGGGGAACGCAAGCTACAGGGTGACAAAGTGGTTAGTAAAAGACTGGAATGTACTCATCATCCCAGGTCAGTTTCCTAGCCTTAAAAGTGTCCCACAGACTTCGCTTAAGAGGATATCGCACCTCCCGAACCCTATGCAATTCCAATGGAAACTTTTTAGTATTTTTTTTTCAAGAACCACCGAACAGATTGACTTGGGATTGGTTTTATTAGAAAGATAATAAAAAAACTCAGTAATATTGCGGCGCTACATTTTCCTATTTTTAAGCTTAAAATGTTTTACGGGAACCTAAAGATGGTTGAAAAAGCCTATTTTTCTCGTTCCATGCTTCATAAACATTTAAAAATAAACCTAGGCCTAAATACAAATTTAGGCTCGACCAGGACGTTTTTAATATATCTCTTACAAGATCTTTTTTCCAGAGATTCTCATTGTAACAAATTTTAACCAAGTTTGTGGCCCATCAAAACATAAAAAAATCCAGCTGTCAGGTGGCGCCATCTATGAGTGGGTACACAATTCTTGCTCTTGAAATTGCGCAATGTGTTATTGCGCCCCGGACTACTTGCATCTTCAAGGTCGTCGGGTTGACAGTCCGGATTTTGAGGAAAAGTGCCTCTCAAAATAATTTTTTTTTTTTGTTTTTTTTGTTTGGGGGGCGAAGATATTTTGCGGGTTATCGCGATAGTGAGTAATAGGTTGTACATCGCTCGAGCGCGCCCTTGGGAGGATGTTCCGTTCTTTGTTGGTGTTTTGGGGTCACACAAATGCAAGTAAAAAGTTTCTTGTTTTTCTTTTTTTTCTTTTGTTTGGCGGCAGAGATATTTAGCGGGTGGGTGAGAGTCATTAGTTTTCAATCGCCAGAGCGCGTCATTGGGAAGATGTTCCATTCTTTGTTGGCATTTTGGGCCAAGAAAAAGGGAGTGAAAGATTTCGTGCTTCAAGCAGTCGTTGCGTGAGGCCTGAAGTTAGCAAATGCAGGAAGACAAAAGCTACCGAAGGGTCAAATAGTAGATACAGTCTTACCACTTCTTTCTGTTCGAAATAGGATAGGTGATTTAATCTGGCGATTTCAAATATTCTGCAGAGATGCATTTAAAATATTTACTTATTTTAAATGTGGAAGAAACATACGTGAGTTCGTCTATTTTGTTTTAATTTCAACATTCGCTTTGCATATCAGCTTGTGGAGGCTGATTTTTACCGTAATAAAACAAACATTGTGAAAATTTCTTCAGTGAAGCTAAGAACAGAACAAGCTTTTTGGAAGTAGGCGTGAAGGGTTGCTATTTGGAAGTTGTGAAAGTCGTGCTGAAGATTCTTTGTTTGACCCGAATCAGCACACTCTTGATTCAGTATTTTATGAAATAAAGGCAAATGTATTAGACAAGAACCCGCACGCCTTTTATTATGGTGTTCGTCGATTGCACTGTCTTGGCTGCGATGAGCCCTTGGTCGGCTGTTACTGTTGGGCGGCGGACAAAAAATCTCACCAGAGAACGGGCGGCGGAGAAAAGCTCGCCGGAGAGAAGCTCACCAGTGAAATGCTCACTGCAAAATCGACAAATGCAGAGAAAAGCTAATTTATGATATATTTTATAATTGTTCGCACAGCGGTGTTTATATTTAAAACTCACGTCCGCACTTTGCTTAGTGCTCGCGCGCTTTTTGCGTGTTCGTATATTTGTAAAACTAAGTGTTCTCGTTCAACCCCAGAAGAACAGCTTACTTTCTAAGAAAAATGGGGAAGAGGCAGACGAATCTACAGTTTTGCAGAATGCGAACACAAAAAAGTGAAGAACGCTTTTTTTTTTAAACTTTTACATGGAGACAGGGCATTGCCTCAAAGTTGAGTACTACGAAAAGCAACAATGTTTGTTACCTCTGTCTCGGCACCAGACGACTCCTGGCCCCGAAAAGTATCAAGTTCGTCTTAGGCCACATAACCGAAGGAAGTCATTGTTTACTACAAAGCAAAAAAAAAAAAAAAAGACAAAGCATAATAATACTGCGTGCGTAGCCAGCCAACTAGGCAGCGCACCCGTGGCCTAACGGTTACCGTGCTTATCTTCCACGCAAGTAGCCGAGGTTCGATGCCTGGCCGCGGATACACCTTTTTTCATTGTTTCTGTAATGCCGCGTTCTGGTGAATTCCAGAACCCTGTTGCTTATTCGAGGTTAGAATGTTCTACGTGCCGGACCTCCTACGCCGGTTGTTCCAGAAGCCCACGCATGCACGTAACGAGCTCCGCGTGGAGAGCCGGAGTCAGTCCCGATCCTGCTGTTTCGCCGACATCGACGCCTGCGACGCCAACCTTCAATTTTGTTCGCCCCATTAAATGTTTAGTTTTTTTTTCAGTTATTCACCGCGTCATCATTTGTCATTCGTGACATTATCGTTATCCTTTAAATGCAAAAAAAAACACTATTTACAAAAACGAGAAACAATCTGGCCAGAAATTATGATGTTCGATAAAACGGTGTTCTACGAAACGGCTTCGATGAAATAGACCTATTGCTATATTACGCTAGCATTAAGGATAATGCAGGGATTGGCATTGCACGCGTCACACGTGCTGGCCTCAGCAGTAGTAACTTTTCTAAAACAAGTACCTAAAACAAATGGCATCTTGCACGCGCGTTCATCAATGCTTTATTTTGGTTACTTACTTCGAACCTTTTATACGGGGAAGGCGTGCGCGTGTGGCGCGTGGAACACCAATCCCTGCATTCTCCTTGATGCTTGGGTAATATAGCAAATGGTCTCTTGGGTTCAATTGCATGGCATTCATTTAAATGACTCTGATATAACAGAGTTCAATAAAATATCGAGAGCTGCGAAGAAATAATGTTAAAACGGTTTGTAAAGGTGAGCTTTTCTCCGCATCTATCCAAAGTCTGGTGAGCTCTTCTCCGCATCCGCCGGATCTCCAGTGAGCTTTTCTCCGCCGGAGAACAGCGCAACACCGAGGGGTTCACGGGAGAAAAGTTTACCGAAAAACTGACAGATACTGAGATAAACCCACTCAAGAGTTATACGATCAAGCTTTTAAATTTAGTATTTGCGGCTCTACTCTGGGTGCCCTGTGGGGAACACCAAACGGAGATTTATACAATATTCGTATATTGCAGACACCAAAATGAATGAAAAAGCAGAAGTCCACAGTTTTGCAGAATGGGAATAAGTAACAAAGGGATATACACGTCTTTTTCTATAAAGACATTGCCTCAACGTTGAGTTTTATGAACAGTAACGAAGTGACCTTGTCAATGCACCCGACGACCACAGTGAGCCCCCAAATTGTGTCAGGACCCATCACACCAGAAATGTGAAGTTACTACAAATAAAAAAAAAAAATATGGAAAAGAATGTTTCTTTTGTTTATATACCAAAAGAATGCCATTTCCGAAAACGAAAATCGTAGGTGAGTTTCCACCGCATCCATCAAGAGGCCGATGAGCTTTTGTCTGCGTCGGTCGGTCTTGCGGTGAGATTTTCTTCTATTAGCTTTTTTCCGAGATTTGTGACTTCGGCATCGATCTCAACCTTTTTTATGTCGGAAACGCAGAAGATTGCACGGGCCTGAAAGACGATGCCGGTTTTCAGCCATCACATTTTCACAAAGCGAGGCACCTAAGGTTCTGTGGCGCACTAGAAGATCACTCGCACCTACACCGGACATTTTATCGAATGCCGTTTCATTGAATGCGTCATAGGTTTCTGCAATAAAATTTGAAAATTTTTTATTGTCCTCTCGTACGACAGACACCTGGATGGCACGGCGGAGGACACACCTGCATGGGGTGTACCCAAGCGGATGGATTCGAGTTCCACCACGTCCCCCTCCACTAGTCCAAAATTTTTCGTTTTGTTTTGTTAGCAGCGTTTTTTGGCCGGCTATTAAGATTATTTGTTTAAAAATACTGGCCAATTGTTGCAATTGAACGTTTCGGTACGGGACGACCACTTTTTCGGTGAAATGGCATTCGATGAAATGTCCCGGAACCTACACGTTTACCACTTTTTTTCCTTCCGAGTTATTTTCCCGATTATTCCTTTGCTCGGCGACAACTCAGGCCAAGCTTTGTACACCCCCCACCCCCCGCTTTTTTTTTCTCCCTAAATAGAAACCGACAAAACACGAAGAAGGCCACGACTCCTCTATATGCCATATAACGACACCTACCCTAGCCACAAGCCAGTGGACCCCCTCTAATAGACCGATCTCATCAAGTGTTCGGCACATGCGTGAAGCCGACATAACTTTAGTTCAGAAGAAGCAGGCGGCAGTGTCCGAGACGGCTCGTGCCATCTCGTGCTTTTCACGCTCAGAGTTTCAGCGAGGTTCGGGCACGTGCTAAAATACTAAAGTTCTCTCGATGCATTTGCGGCAGCGGTAGCGGAGTCAAACTGGCTGGGATCATAAAATGTTCGTCGTTTCATTAACCTTTTTTGTAACATCGCGGAGGTTTGTGGAAATTTCAACTCCGACTGAGAACGAAGGTGGAAGCCGTCCCGCCCAATATGGTGCCTCTATTAGCCGCGAGAACAAACTTGCGATCAGTGTAATGATTGGTTGCTCTATCCTCCCCGTGGCGTCACTGGCAGAACAGTGGTTTTGTCCCCAGGAGATTAGGATCGCGCGAATAAAAATATAGGCCCTGTGGCACTGCAGTCACGATAATTCTTGCCTTGCAAAAATAAGGCAAATATTATCATGGAATATATTATCAGCCAATACAGCCGAATCTCGTTAATTCAAACGCGAGGGGGACTGAAAATTTGTTTGAATAAAGCAAAGTTTGAATTACCAGGAGCTTCCTCCCATACAGACGCATAGGATGGGACCTACATGTTAGTTTGAATTATCCGCAAGTTTGAATTAATGAGAGTCGACTGTACTAAATCATTTCCGAGACGGCTCTAAAACTCTACTCAAAAAACTTTTTTCCTCTTTTTTTTTTTTTTTTAAATAGATAACTCTAGAAACTGAAATAAGGTATTCTCTGCTGAAATAAGGACTATACCCGTTGGTGCACCGATCTCATGTTTTTAAACTTGAACCGGTCATAGCATGCGATGAAGACCACTGAGGAGGTGGCCGCAGTACATGGCTCACTGATATGCAAACATTCGACTTTATCTCAGTTTCGCTTGACATATAATTAACTAATTAAAAAAAAACTACCTGTGATTTTGTAAAAAATATAATCACATGACCCACAAATCAACTAGCGCACTTTTACTCTTTTACTATGTGCAACAGCGTTTACTTATTTGAGTGATTTGCGGCGGCGGCATCTCGTCCGGGCGAACAAAACAACAACAAATACGGTGCTCGGTAAAATATGCTAGGGCCTTAGTGGCAATTCAGTTTTGAGAAGCAATTAATCGGAACATGTAATTATGGAAGTTATTGTTTTAATAACTTGTTTAAAGCATAGCTTTGTCACAATAAAACTACGCTTTGATCAGTATGTATATAAGACGCAACACTATCTAAACTTGTGGTTTTTATTTTTTTTTGGCTTTTCGGCAGTACAACAGATAGTTCTGATTTTGTGTCATTTAGAAAACGCACACCGATTTAGCAATCGGGGTGGCCGTTGCAATCCGGTGCTCTAGAAAAATAAGTGGGGACTGGTTCATCTCGTTTCTTTTTTCGTACAAGGAGATCGGACGCTTTTTAGAGTAAGTAGCTTTATTTTTTAAAGCACTACTTCGCGGGAATGAAAAGTAGGTTCTGAGGGGCTGTTATTTAGGATGCAACATTATTCTGACTTGTGGTAGATTATTTCGCAACATTATGACACGACACATGGCATATTTGTAATGATGATATCAACAGTCAACATGCTATTTGGAAATCCCATCGTACGAAAAACCTCGGAACGGGAAGAACCGAGCCAAAAGAATCCAAAGTATCAGGCAGCTAAATGAGGCGTTCTCTAACCGCGTTTTTTTCTTCCTAATCCGGTAAGAATGGGACAAAGGGCCCCTTTGCGATGACCCCGAGGCCCACAACACTCCCCGCTATCCTCTTTTTGAACGAATAAAAAAACAAAGCCATTCTCGCAGCTCCCAGGGCGCAGAGCCTTCTGCAGGGTTGTGAAACGGGATGGGTGGGTTAAGTGGGGGACTTTCAGGGTCAAGCCCTCCGCTGATAACCGGAACAAAAAGTCAAGCTTTTTCTTTATTTTTATTTGGAAGTAGAACTATATCGCGTAAGCAATGAAAAGGCTTCCCCCCCAGTGCCATCTGGATTTTGAAAAAGTTCCTATGGGAGATGAAATTCTACTGTGATATCCTCTTAACAAGCCTTTTCCTACACCACAGAAGTCGATGGACCACTAAAAGTCCACAGTTTGGACACTTGACGGACAATTCGAGAGACTTTGCAGGGCTGATGGGAATGTCACCTGAAAGCACTGCGATGCAGTGAGCAACCAGTCCTTGGTGGCAAAGTAGACAGACTCTGACACCGAGTAACCGCAGGCGATCGTTGAGGTGAAGGCTCCTGGGAAAATGACCACAAACTGCCCCTTCTCTTGGACAGTGCGACTCAGGGGGCAGCCGTTCTCCACCAGCAGGGCAGGCGGCACCTGCAGACACCAGTGCAAATCACCACTTTAAAAGAGCCCCAATCAGAATGGGGAGCACTTCATTTCATCTTTTCCTTGATCAATCAAACTGTAGGCTCTCATTTTACTGGTCATGCAATGCTACCCCACTTTCCCATTAAAAGTTTCCCCTATTCCAAGTTCCATGACCAGCTAGATGGCCCTGTGACCAACCTTCGCATTTTTATAACTTATTAACTCTCTTTAGTTGGCGACTTGTGCATACTACACTAAAGAGGTCTTTTTTGTAATTATGAAAATATGGCAAAAATTGTACTATCACTCAAGTATGCTTGAGTCAAAAGATTAAGACAGCCTCACCGGTTGTCTGCAGTGACAAATTGCAAATGCTTACTTTTTACATTGACATGGTACTAATAATAAGAGAATGAAAATACCAGTTTCTATTTCCCACTACATAAGGCTTGGAAAATAGCAGATGGCATTGATTCTTTACTCCAACGGCCGAGATTTTTTCCCAAAAGGTATTTCCCAGTGGTCAAGTTTTGTTTCCTAAGGAATAGCATACAAAAACAATCAATTCACACATTTTTTTTTTATTAATTATCTAGCGGGAGGACATACAGTCCTTGCAAACGGTTCAGGTTTAAGAGCATCAAATGAAAATATTTAAGGCAAAAATTGTCACCTTTCTCTTATTAGTTTGGCACGTTCGCTTCCGCGACATTCCAGCGGTTTCAGATTCTGAACCAGAGTCACTTTACAAAGCTTCTGCAACGAATGGTAAGCTCTCATCTTCCAATTCAATTCTGAGAAGAGTTAAAAGTTTGAATCCGAAGAGCCGGGGCTCTAATTGCCACTACCACCAGAGCAGCTGCCATGGAAAGAGACCATCTCGGCATATCAAATGCGCGGAGCATCCAATTTCAAAACTATATATAGCCCCAGCAAAGTGAAATACTGTGTGAATATAATGTTTATAGTTGACCAAAGACATAACAAAAAGCAACACCTTCTATGGTGCATAGTTTCGCGTTTAGGCGGGCACCTTCAAATGTGTAATCGCCACCGTACATGATCGGTGACGACCGACCATCAAAAAGTTAAACTGGGTGCCTAGTCACTTCCTCTAGCAAAGTACTATACAGGGTATTCCACGTAACTTGAGGAAAGGTTTAAAAATATTTTGGTGCATTTTAGGAATACGAAACCAAAGAAATAAGCATGTTCATTGTTTTGAGCAAGTCAGGCTATTTTTGTACTTTGCACAATTAACTAATAATTAAGATCAATTAATAAACTTTTGAAATATTCAATTTAGAGCAAAGGCTTTTAATAACAAAGTTGTACAGTGTCCTCAGAAAAATCCAATTCAATGGCTTTTATCAAGAAACCTCTAACACTGTTAATTTTTCTGGGCTTCAAAAAAAGCCCGCAAATTACGAAACAAAAACATGTAACTTTGCGCTTGAGAGCCTTGTATTGCAGTGCTCTCAGCCATGGCTTGAATAGACTAAGCCCGCATGCTGAATAGAACACTGTTGACAGGGTGCTCTTGAAATAGTCTTTTTTTTTTTTTTTTCATAATCTGCTAGCTCTTTTCAAAACCCTGAAAAACGGACAGCGTTAGAGGTTTCTCGATAGAAACCGCTCAATTGGATGTTTCTGAGGATGTTCTACAACTTTGTCAATGAAACTTTTGTTCTAAATTGAATATTTCTAAAGTTTATTAATTGATCTTAATTAATTTGTTAATTGGGAAAAATACAAAAAAAATAACCTGAATTGCTCTAAACAATGAACATGCTCATTTCTTTGGTTTCGTCTTCCTAAAGTGCAACAAAATATTTTTAAATTTTGGCTCAAGTTACGTGGAATAGTACCCCGTATATGGTTTACAACAAATATCCTCAAAACGCTGCTAGTCAAGACAAGGTAGCAGAACTCCACTAGACTCCAGTTTGCTTAAAAATGGGCTATTAACCAAAAGATTTTTGCAGAATATTTGCAGGTAGTATTTAATAAAGTCAATCAAAAGTTAGCAGGTCAATTTCTACTAGCAGCACTGGAGTGTACCTCCCCCAGGGTCTTACCAGAGAAAGTTGAGACATTAAATAGATTAGCTAGCATGCTAACCAGAATATAACTGATAGTGGGGCGATTTTTCCAACATGCAGTAGCAGCTCTCACCATGGCACAGTCGGAGGGCAACCAGATGACACTATCCTTACAAACTTGAGGCATAATGTCCTTCATGGCAGAGTGGAACCTCTGGGAGCTTTGGGCTGGAACACTGTACCTACAGGATTGCAATGGGAATGCTTCAAAAGTTGCAAACTCTCCAAACAATTGCCACATATTGTGTTCACCAAAAAAACTGCAAGCATGAAAAAGCGCTTTTAAGAGAAGCGTTGCCGTACCCATGCAGGCTTGTACAATACTTTCCCATGGGTAAACTGAAGTCGAGACTCTTATGACAGAGGAAAGTGAGTCTATTAGATTTCATCAAAACAACGAAGCATTTTAACACTCCTTTTAAAACATTTAAGGGAGGACACTGGCTAGAGATTTAACTTCTGAACTACTCAAGTGATCGGATGAAATCTGCAGGAGAGATTTAACATAAGGTATAGGTGTATTGTGCAATCTTTCAGTTCCCTAGGACAATTTTACATACCTGCATAAGATGTGCCATTCTTTGTTAAGAAATCTAGGATATGCAAATGAACCTACTGAGCACCATTTTGACTGGTTGAATATAAAGTGGGGATGTGGGACTTCGGGCCATCTAGATTTTATAACTCAAATGTATATTTCGGGAAGAGTCATTACCTCAAAACATCAGATGCACATCTGTCCTATGTCAATTTTTGAAAACATTGTTTTTTCTCAATGAGGACTTTAATTTAAAACAAAAACAAGTAGATAACCCGATTCCTCAGTAAATTCGAGTTCAGAAACATCTTGATTGTGGTATCAGAATAATTTTACCTTCGAACAAAAGATTCCTTTGTATGAAATTCGCAGCAAAAAGTGGAACTGAGAAAAATGCATTTGAACACCGAACTCCTTTACTTTGTCACTGCCTCACAATGTGTTATGCACTGTAGACCGCATATAACGTATGTCGCGGGAGTCGCGAAAATCCGCACTATAAGCGGTACCGCGCTATAACCAAAGCATCAATTTTTCAGGCCAAAATGCATGCCACGAGACAACTTACCTTTGTAAAAGAATTTCTTTTATGTTAGATGAAAAATAAAGCTTACTTTGAGGAAAGCCTTTATTTCACCAGACTAGTACAGTTCTCTCTCAAGCGTGTTACACATTTTGAAAGAAATGAGCGGCTTTTGCCTTTTAACGGCGTTGCGGGTTGCGGACGGACGTTGCGAGCGTTCAGGATTGCTAACCCTAATTACTTTTCTCCGGAGATGAAAACGCTTGAAAATTCGCATCCTTCATACGGTATGCGCCAGTAATACCTTGAACTTGAGCACACGCATGAAATGCGCCAAATAAGGAGTCCGGGCGATGTTCGAGGACACAAGTGCTTAGAAATCACCACTGTAGTCGAAGTAAGCAAACACGACAACACGGGCGTTTCTGCCGTCTTGAGAGCGCCGCCACGACATCGCCGCACGAGCAGGTGGATCTTTCCTTCTAGTAAGTGCTGGGTTATCATAGCGACACACAACGAAAATTCACAGTCAAGGATAGCGCTTTTACGTAGAACGATGAGATGAACACCGTCTACGACAACGATCATAACCGACGCCATGTTTGCGGATAGAAGCAGCCGGCCCGCGACCAGCATGCAACGCGCGCGAACACTACTCGACCTGCGATTGGTCTGTCGTTGCAGTTGTTTGTTTCCAACGCACGTGAATGACACGTGCGTGCGTCCCTCCGTCGCTATGGCAACTGAAGCCTTTCGCTTCTCCCCGCTTCTTCGAGAAACTGCCCCGCGAGTGCCGCTTGCGGCTCGCGCCGTCAGCGCCGTTATCTAGTGTCGCACAGGGAAGCGTGCTCGCTGCTCCGGTCGTCGGCGCGGCCGGCGGGCTGTGCCAGAAACCGCACTATAACCGTTATTTCCCTTCGCGCGCCTGCAATTTAAGCGGTATGTAATTACATGGAGTTCTATGGGGGCGAACCGGTGGTTTAAAAAAACCGCGTCATACCCGGTCCTGCACTATAAGCGGTTACGTTGTAAGTGATCTATACTGTATTTTATATCAACTTAACTACTTGACATACGGTTATCGAATTTGGTGCACGAGTGTATAATTAGTTTCAAAAACCAAAAAGGATAAAAATAAAAAATGAATTCTTTAAAAAAAATTTTTTTTTTTTAATTTAGGCCCCCCTCCTTTCTAAAGAAATGTCTTGTCCCTACAAAGGATAGCTCTAGACTTCATACAACCCAAATACCACTGATTTTTGAGATAAACATCTAAGACTAATTAAACATGACGAGTTAAACTTTTTGCAAGACAGCTCTGGTACCATATTTTGTTGGCACCAGTGTGGAGGTACTCAATCCATGGCAGGCAGTGGGGGTCACGATACCAACAGCCCGTCGTAAACAGCATGCTGAGGTGCAGTGTTGGAATAGTGACACCTGGAAAAATTAATAGAATTTCCTTAATAGAAACAACACTATCTAAAACTGCCAGCATGTGCATGGTGCAATTCTCAAGTGGCACTCACCAGAGACAGGTCCCATGCAACGTAGAACGGTTCCCGGGTTGTTTGTGAACACCTTCAAGTTCCAAGGGTGTCTAGAACGCACATTAATGATACATGTTTGGGGTAACTTAGTAGGTCACGAGAACGATGACTACTCTTATGTTGTTAATCATTTGGGAAAAGACAGAAATGCTCACAAAATACTTTTTTCAGACATCACGCTGAGGAAGTTAGAATTCTTTGGTGTTGCATGCTGATCTACTTTAGGCATTCTGAGGCTAACAAAATGTCATTTTAAAAGCATAACCATCTGTGCCATTTATCCACTCGTATGCAGAGAATTTAACAAAAATTAACAAACAAACAAAACTTTCCAGAATTGAAACTAACACCTAGAATGTATGAACCGAAGACATGTCCACGATTAGCACAGATCAAACTGGTAAAGTGTACACTGATCAAGCAATAAACGAAAGATAATGAGATGTAGGAAATTAGTTACTTTGCAAATGGAATGACTCGGTTGGTTGGAAACCCACTTCCATGAACACTGCTGTCAATGTTGCCAGCATGAACGCAGACATGCCGCTTCTGGTCAATCACCATGCCCCAGTAGTCCTTCTGCACAGTTAATTAAAAGTCTGCCTTTTGAAACCATTCTCTTATAAAATGTGTGTTGAAGTCATGCATGGTTTTAAACAATATTTACCATGCATGACCTCAACACTTTGGCATGAGTTATGCACTTCAGTACTGACCCACATTTTTTTATATCATTCTACCTAGAACACTGCACTGCAGGGTAGTAAAGATTTCTGCCAGGAATGTACTCTGAGCCTGAGTTGGACCTGGTCTGCCTCAGTCATTCAACTAGTAAGGCAGACCAGCAGCCAAGCTGTGGCAATGCACTCTTGCGTCATGTTTTTCTAAGACAACCGTCACAACTCCCTGGGCTGATTTAAAGGGCCATGCTACCCTAGCTGCTTTTCAGGGCAATTCATGTCCCCGAGATTTTGAGGGCTGCGAGCTAAAAAGTCTGTGCAGCTCTGCTCTTGGGCCAGACATTATCAGATTAAAACTTGCCATATGGCATAGTTTTCCCAAGTACCGTAGAATACCGCGCATCCACCCAATCCACTCTAAGCGCCCATACCCAAATTTGTAAGATCTGAGAAAATATGCATCGTACATTTATGTGTAAAACTGATGACCAAACAAGCGCCCATCCCCCATTTTTTCGCGATTATCTCAAAATTTTGAGTGGGCGCTTGCCCGGTATTTTACAGTAGGCAAAATACAGCGACACATTTCTGACCTACTCTGAACTTGGATTGCTAGACAGACATGCCTCTTGTGGCCCGGACCAGGGTTGGGGTAGTACTGTAAATCACCAGACCTGCGCAGTACTTTAATCGTGCCATCGCAAGACCGTAGAAATATATGTAGCTGTCCAATGGCATGTATGTGTAGTATAGTGCTATATGCTTTCACATATTCCTTTTTTTGTCTCTCTCTCCCTCTCTTTGAGGACGTACATGCATGGTAGTCCATCAACCTCAGATGAAGCTAAACATTATTACTAGTTTAACCTCAATTTAATGAAGTCGTCTTTTGAGCCGAAAATTTTGTTAAAACGCGAATTTCGTTGGACCGAGGTTTTTGTTTTTTAGCATTGCTATTGGTTTTCCAGGCTCCCAAAACCCTCCAATTGCCTCACATCTTGCAAGTGAGGGTTAACAAATAATATTCCATTACAAAATGTGGTGGTAATAGAAGAATGCAGTTCATCGACCCTCATTTTGTACGGTTATGGGAGCGGTGCCTAGCCCTGCAGGAGAGCGTGCAGTCGGGAAAGCAACCACTGGCACTTACGGAAGCCATAATGCTGTCTTTCAACTTCAAAATCGTCAAAAGCGAACTCTACGAAATTTCATACTGTATTTACACGAATGCAGGTAGACGCATTTTTCAATTTTTGAAAATGTGAAGTTGGGGAGATAGACTTACAATCGAATCAAAGCGTTCCACCGCCAACAAAATCTAAACAATCGCAATATCAAGAACACCTCGGCTCGTTACGAGTTCAGCAGCTGTACATGTGGCATTGCACTATTCTGAGCGCTCATTTTACAAGTTTTTTTTTTTTTTTTTATTTGCGCAAACGAGTATTATTGATGGCGTTTCACAAATTAGCTCGAATGTATGGCGGTGAACAGCGCAAGTCGCGCCCGACTCCCGGGGGTGACGGAACTTCTTGTAAAAGCCACTCTGGAGGCCGCTGGAACTACTGGAACAGCCTCACGCCTCACTCCCCGCAGCTTCTTTTCACAGTCGCAAGTCATTTGATCGAGTGTCGATATCATGCTTGAGCGTCAACTACTTTTTTTGCACTGACATGCTTGATCCGGGCAGTTCAGGTTTTTGGTGCTTGCTTATGGCCATTCTTCATCCGGAAGCAAACAACAACTGCACTGCTGGATGCAAGTTCGACACGTCGGAGTGGGTTGCGCTCCAGTGGAGTCTGCAAAGGCGCAGGATCTTAACTGTGGCGGCAAACAAAGAGGCTTCCATGGGCCAAAGACTGGATAGGTGGGGATGCCTTCTGGAGTTCGAGGTCAGGCTTGCAACGTACGCCGCGCACAATCGGTAACCGTGACGTGCAACGCGACCACCGAGCATTTGCGAAAAATTAAGTTGATGCTGTCATTTGCGAAGTGCGAGAATTTGTTGGACGACGCCGACGACGAGCTTTGTGAAAAAGATAATGACGGCACATTTCTATGCTTAGTTTTTGACGACAAGGTTTGTTTCTGTTAAATATTTTTTTCTTCGCTTTTTGATGTTGATTTGTGTATGTGCGATTTCCAAAGACTTTGTTAAACTGAAACTGCGGCGCAAAAGCACTTCACTAAATCAAGATAAAATACAATGTCTTCAATGAAAGAAAGATAGGGAGGCGAAAAAAATATTATAAAATCGCAAATTTCGTTAGATCAGGGTTTGTTAAATCGAGGTTCAACTGTAGTCCATAAACAACTACATTTCTTGAACAGTCATGCCACGCATATGTCGTGGCTTTAAAAATATTCTAAGCACTAAGCAGTAGCTGATGGTGTGGCTACTCTGTTTCTGTCAACTTCTCAGTGAATGCGATGAACCAACAAGTCCAAATCGTCTCTTTGAAGACAGAACATGAACACTACAAATCTAGAGCGCCACAAGCTAAAATGATTGTGACACAAAGAAAACATTAGCTTAAAGGGGCCCTGCAATCGTCTAGCTTTTTTGCGGTTTCCACGTCTCTTGGGGTTCGGGCAAGCCAGAGAGAGTAACTAAACATCAGTGAGTCATATTTTAACCGGACGACGCGGAAACCTCCTCCACAGACAAGGGCGACCCGCGGTACCGAAAGCGCGCAAAATGTGACGTCTTTGGTCCTGGGCTTACTACTGGTCAGAGCCGCTAAAAGCTTCTTTTTAGTCGAAATGCAAAATATAAGTGGCGCGAACCGTTTCAATTAGTTATAAAAGTAGTTTTTGTTCAGTATTTAAGATCAGAAAAGAAACGAACGCAGTTTATAAAGTACGGAAACAAGAAATGACTCGTCGACATACCCGCCACCAAGCGGTGGAAAAGGCGGTGCATACTAGAAAGGAGTAGTGGGATCAGGCACCGACATGGAAAGGTCCTGGATGTACGCGGCAGCGCTGCGGTCGTATGGACAGGAGGATCCGACCGGCTCCGAGCGTCCCGAAGGCCATCGGCGAGAGGCTTTGTCATGCGGTTTGGCCAATCGCGGTATGGCAGCGCAAAGTGGCTCCCATTCTGAACTGATCTTTACACCGTGTTTGCTCTCGTTTGTGGCCAATGAAGTGTAATGCCGAATTAGTGTTTAATCGCGCAGCAAATGCAATGAGAGCCGCTCTGGCCGCCCGCTGCATACAGCCTACCCAGAACGTGCTTTAGTGGTGCCCTCTTGCGCCGTCAACACGGAGTGCGGCAGCCGTGAGCGCTTGATGAGCTCACTACCCCTCCTCTAGTTCACGGCCACTCAAGCAACCAAGGACATCATGAGGGAGGTTATTTTTTGCTTGTTTTTGTAATTGTAATTTGCCTACAACTTTTAAAATAAAGTGAATTTCGAGAAAAGAAAAGTTTCACTAAGTTACTGCATTCAGTGCGCTCAGGTTCGGTGCAAATTAAAAACTAGTAAAGAAGTCCTTGCAGGGCCCCTTTAACCAACCCAGTAAAATATGCACATACACAGGAAAGACAGACACCATTTGCTCGCGAAGTTTAGATGGCAAAACACTGTGCCCACCTCCACGTCTTCATCCGAAGGGTCTTGCTTGTACCACATGGACATTGTGTTTCTTGCAACTCTTTGAAACACACTTAGTGACATTGTCCGTCCCTGTTGCAAACAAGCAGTGCAGTTAATTGCATCAGTGAACCAGAGGTTATTTTCCTCAATTTTTTTTCACATTTATGAAAATTAACCAAACTGCACTAAGCTTTCTCTTAAGGCCAACAATGAATGAGGAGAAGTCTGAATCCAAATGACAACAGCTACTGCCACAATCAATAATGAGAAAGTTTTCTGATTGGCAATAAATTAGAGTGTTTAATATGTAATGACTTCCAGCTTGCTTGTTTTTTTTTTTTTTAATTTGTGTTCACCCAAATGCATTCTGATATTTATACTGATGGATGGAAGTTGGTGACAGGACAAAACATTTGTTCAAAACATTTGTTCAAAGTTTGGGAATCCACGGAACTTTCTATGGATGTCAATGAGATTCAGCCTCTGATATCACCAAACCAGACATTTAAAATTTTGTTCCAAATGAAATCATTTATCTCAAAATATCCCCAAAAGTTCTAACTTCTAACCATCCCAAACAATTTCTCAACATCTCCAAAAGCTTCAGAAATGCCAGATTTTTCAGAACATACAACTTGTGTCAAACTGGCCCATAATTAAAAAATTACAGCATTCCTGTGCAACCCCCCTTAAAACACACACACACATGCTAGATGTAGTTAGTTTGGTAGGTGAACATCAGTCATGCAAAAACTACCTTTGTACATTATCAGCCATGCAATCTACCTGGTTGGTACTCTCTTCATAGACCATTAGGTACTGTTACAGTGACTAATATGCAAAACACATTACTGTGTGGATTACGCTCAGTATGTGTCCCAAACTCAAAAAGTGTATTTTTCGTTGTAACTGCCTTGCGTATGTGTCCTCGGTCGGTCCATGCTTTCCGCCGTGTCATGCCTTGAAACGAGGAACATTTGCCAAAAGGCCTCGAAACCTTTATACATGAAAAAAAAGTAGAAAGAAAGCCTTTTCAGTCAATGGCAGCTTAAATTGAGAACTACAAAATGGTTTCCAAGTTTTTCAATATACTCTAGAAATAGGGCTCAACACTACCTTATATTTATCTATGTAGAAAAGGATAGTTCTTTAGCATAAATGTAGATAGTACCACAAAAACAAATTAATTTATATTCTATTAACTTTATTACACTTGTCTAGGCACTGTGCTTTATGAAAGCTGTTGAACATGCATGCACGAAACGAAAGTTTTAATGAATGTGTAAAACAAGACATATGACAAACATAACATCACAATTAATTTATATCAGGAGCTTTCAGGTGAAATATGATCTATAATGAAGTTTAATCAGGATAAATTTGCAACATTTTACTCTAACCAAACGTGCAAAAGGCATGCACCTCATCTTAGAATATATAAAAGAAAAAAAAAAAAAACTGACTGCGAGTTTAAGGAATCACTACTTTTCACTCTACTGAAGCTTACTGGCATGCAAGTGGGTAACATGCAAAGCACTTGCAAGCAGAACAGCCTTGCATCTCCTGCTGCAAGACAAGCAAGACCATTTTTAACAAACCTCCACTGGATCTTCCTTATGAACTCCATAATCAACTGAACAGTCTTTTCCAGCACTGGAGACTGGAAAAGACAGCTTGTCTATATTGCTAATGACAGGCAACCATTTGCATATCATGCCATCTTCCAGAGGACTGTATCTGCTGATACACAAGTAAAGCCTGCCCCATTCTCAGATAAAAAAAGAACCATGACACCCACTTAGTCCACTTCCAAAATAAGTGCCGGGTGCGTAAAATTTTGCTCTTAACTACTGTTAAGAAGGATTCTCCTGTCAATTGAATCATGGCAATTCAGTACAGCAGTCAAAGCAAGCAGACAAAAGACAACATCAGCTTGCCTGTGGTCCAAAAGAGGCCTACCTTAGTGACACACTCGTTGCCAAACTCTTCCTCCAGTTCCTCTTCGGCAGAGGCAGCCGAGGCATCATTTTCAGCGGCCAACTGCTGTTCGTGATCAGCCTCCACCTCTTTCTCCACATTCGCTTTCTCCTCAGGTGACAAGAGGTCATATGGAAGCACAAACTTGCAGTATGCATCATCTACTTTGGATACCCTATCTTGGGCCTGTGGAAAATTGTTTCTTTTTTTATTTTACTCAAGAAAATTGATGCAAACACGTTTCAAAGTGTTAAAGACAAAGCAGCTTATCCTTGAGTGGCAGCTTGTGACAAGAAAACATGCAGAGAAAACATTCCCTTCAGTATGAAGTGAAAAGTACAATAAAATAAGTTTCTGAAATATGAGACATTCACTTGGAAACCTTGCTCAACTGTACCTAAAGCAAGACAACACCACAACATTATGTGACGCTGCAAAATCTTTTAGACACTTCAACTAAGTATGGGCACCATTTATGTTGCAAATAACTCACGGCTCTGGGAATGTGCATAGCATCGGCGACCCTTTGCCACTTCTTTTTTTCCATCACTTGCTGGATACCACCAAAGCTTTGGACAGTGTGGTACAGGTGAGACAGGTCTACCTCTATGCCACCAATCTGAAGCAGTTGCCAGGGAGGAAAATTCGGGGATTAAGGTGAACATGGAACCTCAGGGCCACAAAACCACTTTTTGAAGAATAGTTCACAGGGAAACTGTCGCCATTCTCACACTCACCAAAGGTGGCTGGTCGTCGGTGATACCCTGCTTCATGAAGCAACGTTTGATACATGCCGTGTGCTTAACGTTGGGCCCCCAACTGAACAAAGGCAAATGTGCATATTCAGAAAATAATTAATTGCTATACAGAAAACCAGGGTTACTTTTGAGTAATGCAATGATCAGCTCCTTTGAGACCGCTGCAGAAATCCTCCCAGTCCAACAATAAAGTTTGCAGGCTTACAAGCTTTGTTTATAGCACTGATTCCAAATAAACACTAAATATATTAGTGAGAAAGCAAAAACTGCTTGGCTAAAAAAAATGCACAAACATCCTCTATATCATATTGTACTTGAGCTCGGGAGGCACCTGACTTAGCGCAATCAAGAAACCTTGGGTGCTCAAAGAACTTATGGGATTTCGGGAGCCCACCTTGACAATCGCTTGAATCAGTAATTATCACACCCAGCAAAATTTTTAAAAACTCTCAGTGGACACAAGGAGAGGATCGACGGGCACAAAAAGACTGAAGGCTTAAAAATAAATGTCAAGATAAAACAAACAAGAAAATGTAATCTAGTACCATGTTTGCAGAGTTTAGAAAATAATCAATAAAACCAATCGGGCAAAAGCTTTTTGGAAGGGATGGAGCGTTACACTCACCGAGAGAACATTTGGTGGATGAACTGATTATGTGCAGTGAACCGCATCTCATCGAAGACCTTGCACTCCGGCTGCACAACAAAAATAACCATGTCTGGTGAGACATTGTTTCTCAAAAGCAGGTGTCAAAGGTACAGCAGATATCAAAGAAATAAAGCTATTTCAATCATTACCGTACACCAAGAAAGTACACTTGTCATGCCGAAAGGTCAAGGGTCACAGATGTACATTTGCGGACGATATGATAAGGCCCAAGCTAGCGCGTGGCTTCGAAGACGTCCAGTGCTATGCAGCAGAAGAAAGCAGAGTTATCATTGAGGATACAGCGTGACCGAGCAGCATTTCAGCAGCTGTTCAGTTTCTGTCTTTACTCCCCAATTGGTCGGCAAACTATCGCTCGATTCACAATGACATTAGTAGAGCTCGGTGAAATAAAATAATAACCGGATATTGTCATAGAACCAACAAACTTATATCAAGTGCCAGAAAACTGATCGCTCAGCCTGTCATCTTGGTGGTTTTAGACACGCTTGATTTTGCCTTTTGTTGTGGAACACCTCTACATTCAGCGCTGGAATCAACAGCAACTCAGTTACAGCCAGAGCCCTAGATATCCGCGGATAACCGCAGTAAACTGGCGGATGCGGATAAAAATTAGACAGATTTTGGCGGATTGTGGATTGGATGTCAGGGGCTGCGGATGCGGATATCTGCGGATTCGGATCTAAATTTTTGCTCGGTGGCATTCAGTTCGTGAACTGACGTTTCATCGACAGAATGTTTTGTCGACATGCGACGTTTGATCGAAAGGCTTCCCGTGTTCGTTTCATCGAAAAACCGGAGACGTTTCATCGCACACAACCGTTATTTTTGTAACAAATGTTTTGTGCCTCGCCTGGATTACAGGGGGGAGGGGGGCACGGTTTGCTTAAGCCTGCCTTAGTGAATCGCGCGCTAGCTTTTAGCAGCTTAGTGAAGAAATGCGTTGTCGACAAAACGTCGCAGGGGCATGTGCCCACAAAACATACAGCGTCGACAAACCGTGTGTCCATAAAATCTATGTCCATGAAAAGTTGCCCACGAAACATATTTCCACAAAACGCGTTTCGAAGAAATGATAGGGATCCTAAGAAAGATCCGATTCTCACTGAAGATCGCTTCAGTTGGTGTGTTTCATCTCGTCAAAAATGCTATCTATAGAAAAAGTAAAGAATGCAAGGCACCAATTGTCCCGAGAAAGCTAGTACTTTGGCAGGGAAAGAGCGGAAAACTTTCTCCGGTCAAAGAAACCCTCAAACGTACAAGTCACGAAAAATTAGAAGAAACCTCCCCCTCTCCACAAAGAGTAGTGTGGTCATGATTCCAAAAACAAAAGCTTCGATAGCGAGCGCAACCCTGTGGCGCCACGGCATGTAAAGTTTTGGAATCAACAGCGCACGCACATAGGCAGCCTGCAAACTGCCTGTGTGTTTCTTTTTCGTATGCTAGAGTCCTAGCCAAAAAAGTCTGGTAGCTCATATTCCTCTAACTATGACGCCAGGGCGTCGTAACCTGACGATTATGAACCTCTCTTGCTTTTTAATTGTTTGATGGAACAAAAATGTAATAATTTAGTATGCCCTTTTCAAACTTTCATATTTCAAAAGCACGCATCTGCATAAAGTAAGTGTTACAAAGCAAAAAAAAAAAAAATATATATATATATATACACACACACACACTTACTTACTTACTTTTTGTGTGCTTCCTCCGGGCAGTGTCGCGGACTCGAGATCATTTCTCCTTCTACGCGCAGTGTCTCGGGAAGGCTAATCGCTTTAAATATATATACGATGAAACTGATAACGATAAAATGACACCGACTGCGTATGGTGACCCGAAGATTTCTTTGTACAAAGATAAGCAAACGGCTTAAAAAGTGTTATTTATATATTTGTTGTTTTTTTTTCTTTCATTCGCGCTTGATGTTATGATATACAATAAAGGCCTGGATTGTGAGTCGGATGCGGTTCCACATTTTGCGAATGCGGTTCGGATACAATAATGTAAAAAAGTATGCGGATACAAAGACTGCGGATGCGGATCGGATGCAGATAATCAAACTGTTATCCGTGCAGGGCTCCAGTTACAGCTAATCAAGCGAGGAGCAGCGACAAAAATTTAACAGCTGCTGAAACCTCGATAATGGCCGAGCTTTTTTCTGATAGATGGTGCTGCAGGCCTTCTGATCCAGGCCCGGGCATTTTCATATAATATGCGACTGTACTGTGTAAAAAGTTGGATGATGCAAGAAATACATCAATAAAAAAGTGACCATACACAACATGAGAATGTGCACATCTACAGTCTGTTGCAGAATTGTCAGGGAAGGTTTCTCAAGATGGCATATGTTGCAAACTTGCTAAACTGATGCATACTTGCCTGTAAAGTATCATTAGTCAAGGAAGATCATCAAATACAAAATTTTTAAACATATATTAAACCTAAATACATAAACATTACATTGTTCTGCAGCTGTTTACACTATATGGTTCAATATTGTACTTGAACTGGGGAACTCCATGAGGCAGCAGTCTCTAACAGTCAGGTAAAGCCCACACAGTTTCTTCCACCTTGTCGATGACCACACTCAAACTGCTATAGTAACATTATTGTGACCACTGTTAGTAACAAATATGTGCACTATCATACGACAAAAACTAAATAAGCAATGCAGCATCAAACATATCCTTGTTGACAACTCCAAAATAGCAAAAGTATAGCAATAACGCAGAGGAAAGTGAAATGCCAGTTGGTCCCATAATTAATGAAGACGCATATAGCCAAGCACTCACCTGAAATGAAGAAGGCAGGATAATTCTGCAGATGCCGAACTTCTCAGCCTCCGCCCTGATTTTGCTGATGTAGCCGATGGGATCCTTTATTTCCTCTGCAGTTGGCCTGTAAGTAGGGGCAACCACCAGGCACGCTGCATCTCTCTCTCCTGGAAACTTCTTGCTGTGCAGTGGTGTCAGCTTCACTTTCTTGAGGTCTTCAAGAGGTCCCCGAGCCTTCCGGGAACTCCCCTTGCCTTTCGGCGCAAGCGTCGACGGAACAGGGGGCTCACTTTTGGCACTTGGTTTTCGAAACACCGAAATATTGCGCCTGCAGTTGAGCGAATGAGAGCTCTCTGTCTGGGTGCTGACTGACGTCTCTTCGGGCAATGCATAGTCGTCAGAGCTGTTCAAACTTGCAAACGAGTCTGAAAGGAGGTCGACATCGCTCGTGTTTGTGCCAACGGTCGCCTTGCTTGGAACTTCCTCCCGCTTGATCAAATTCAGCCCTGCTTCCAACGACGTTGATGTGCCTTCACGAGACCCCAGCAGCATTGCCCCAGCTGCAGTTACGTTTTCATCAAAAGCGCCCGAGAACTCGCTGGTCATGAGGCTTCTGATTTCCTGCGCACTTCCAAAACTGAGACGGCACGACATCACCTGAGAAATCTCGCCAGCAAGAGCATCGAACACTTCTACACCTCCTGACATAGAGTCGAGGTCGTGAAGGTCGGCTGGCGGATCTAGAGGATCGCCGGCGGCATCGGCAATGGTCTCCGAGAGGGAAGACGGCGATGGCTCGGAGAAACGTGCAGAGACCAGCTCAGTTTTTACCGAGTTTACTTTACTGTTCTCCGCTTTAAACTTTCGCCTATTGGTGCTGGCTTTTCGTTTAGCCTCCACTAGACCTATAGGAGTCAAGGAGGTTTTTCTCTTGGATGCGATGAGTGTTTTGGGAATGATGGGAGTCTTGGGAGAAGTCCCTTCTACCTTTTTTCGTATGTTCAACTTTTCCAGCAGGCTTGCACGGTTAGCAAAGTTAATCAACGGTTCATCGTCACTATCTGAAAATGATGCTTCCTGTAACGCAGCAAGCCCAGTTCCCTTGCTGCTCAAGGAAACCGGTTTTCGTTTTGGTGGAACGTCCTTTGTACCATTGTCAGTCGACGCCGAATAAGCCCTTCTAGTACACCGTCTCGCGCTGCTGCTGGAAGTGAGGGCGGTCTCGGATCTTCGTCGGACATCCAATGGCCTCCTCGACAGAGAAAGCTTTTCAGAAACTTTTAAGCCTGGTCTACTTCTTGTCCTCTTTTCTTTCTGCTCCATCGCTGCTTTCTTTGAATCCAACCTCGTCGATACGCAGGGCCCTTTTAAAGATGGATTCCGAAGGCCAACTCCTTTGCTAGGCGACAGCCTCAATGCCTGTCTCCTCTCTACCAGATTTTGAGTTTTTTGTGCCTCTTTCTTCAAGCTTGTACTTCTGAAGCGACCCGAGCCGCGCTTTGTTTTTGTTGGTAATGCCAGAACCAGCGGATACTCCTTGACAGGGCCTAGGCTTCGCGTTTCCCTCCTGAAGACTGCAGCTAGCGAGTTCCTACCAACTTTCCTTGGTGCGACGTGGCCCTTGGCAGTGCTGAGGAGCTTCTTGGCAATCTGTGCCGACTTCGACTGCTGCTTCTTGGCTGGCGGCAGCATCTGAACTTTTGCTCTGCCGGGACCCTGCCGTCTTCCAAGACACTTCCCGGGAGCCTTTTCCACAGTTGTCTTACCAAAAAACACAAAGTTTCTTGTTTGCGGTGACAGTGGGGAGACGTCCCTCTCGCTATCCGAGTCGTAGTCGACTATTGGCGGGACCAATTTTGCCTTCCTTACATGTGGCGTGATCCCACCCCTGGCCAAAGAACCACGTGTCGTCACACCCGAAGAGTATGCCCTCACGGAGGCTGCCAACCTGGGTGAGAGCCGTGTCAGCCGGACACTCAGTTGCTTTTTCAGGACTATCTTCTCCTTGCAGAATATGTCTTCCCTTGTGTCCGACGGTCTCTTTGGAATGACACTGCTGCTCTTGGTAGCATCGCAGACAGATTTTGCAGATGGTTTCACTGGCTCACGAACAGTTCGTGACCTCAGCACATGACCTCCTCCACTTGGCTGAGCTGCTTTTTGGAATAATCTTTGTTTTTTGTATTTGGCTTTCAGAGCTGCCAAGCTAACGTTGCGCCTTGAAGCCAGCTTTGGTGCTGTGCTGCACTTTTTCATGTCCTTGGGCCTGTTTGGCATCCGAGTGCTCTTGGCAGTCTTTTCAAGAGCAATCTTCTTTTTGTCAGTTTTCTATGCAGAGAAGAAGGTGCGCATAATAGAATAATTAATCCTCATTGTCAAATTGACGGTATCTGCTACCCCTCCCAAGATAATGTTTACTTTTGAAACCCACCTCTATCTACAAACAGAAAGGTGATGAAGCAAATCAAGCTACATGTTTTTCACGTTGCAAACCAGACAAAAGAGGATATAGGGCAATTATACCCAGCTCAAATTAAATAAAAATAAAAAGTTAGAAAAGTCTGCGATAACAATATATAGGCGATTCGTGAAACATCAGTCAAACTTTCCTGCGAAAACAAGGTATATTACAGAAAATGTTTTACCACATGGTGGTCTCAATTAAAGGGTCTATTTAGGCAGTGTATTTTTGATTAATTTATCTTTTTAATTATTCAAAGATAAAGGCATAGCTTCCATTACAAACTTCCTGCACATAACTGAAAACCCCTAAATCAATCCCCTTTATGAAGACGCAAAAAATTTCATGGCTTCCCGAGAAGAAAGAAGGAAAAAATACACGCTTAATTTGGACATGTCTTAAGGTTTCAGTTTGCTCAAGGTCTTGTGGCCAAAAACAGCAACTATAGCCCGTTGCAACTCAAGAAGGTAGGGTGAGAGAAAGAAAGGCCGGGGAAGAGGAAGCAATTGGAACGCTGGAGAGAGGAGGAGGTTTCTACCCTCTTCTCTCCAGTGTTCCATCTGCTTCCTCTCCTCCGACCATCCTTTCCCTCGCCCTACCTTCTTGAACTGCAACGGACATTAACAACCGTTGCCTCACCTGTCCAGTGGGAGGAAGGCAATGCACAGCAGAGCAAACGAGTTGCCGCTTTGGTCTCGGGGACGCAAGGCCGCCGATGTAAAGCAGAGCTCCAATAGCTATCCAAAACAATGCGATTCGAGTGAACTTGTTACACTCATGGCCACCAAGGTGATAACCGGCTGGGTGCAAACGTGTGGTTCTCCCAGTTTCAATATATGCAAGGGACAGCTCACCTGCTTCACAGCCCTCCCTGCACAAGGCTCATTAGTGGAACGAGGCTCTTCAGCAGAGTCGCTCCTAGGACACCGCTGATTGGACCGTTGCGATCGTTGAATCAACGACCGTGTGTCGGTCGAACTGCTCATTGTCAAGCTCCCGTTGGCACCCTTGCTAGTCTCTCTGGTGTCACAGGCAGGGGGGGCCAGGCGGGAGTCGCCGTCGGGGCTGCTGCTTCGCTCGGACGAGGTGCCCGAACAACCAGCTCCACCCATGAAGTCCAGAGACGGAGGAAGCGCCGAGGTGCCTGCAAGCATGGAGGCAGGGAGCTTCTGGAGGCAACACGATGCCACCAGAGGTGAAGCCAGAAGCAGGGAGGTACACACACCCCATGCCGACTAAAACCAAGAGACGCTATTGGACGACTTGGAGCCAACAGCTGTTTTCGGGGCCCCGAGGGTGGCACGGACACCAGAAAATGTACAAAAGTGAACGAGTGACACATCCACCAATTTAAACGAAATATTTATTGTGGCTCCTGCTTGTCGCGATGGGTTACATCCGATCAGTGTGTTCAACAGTCGTTAAACCTTCTCGTTAGCCCAATACCGTCGGGCACTAATTGACGGGTTGCTTGCAGGCACGGAGTTAGGAAGCTTCTAGAGGCGACACGAGGCCACCAGAGGTGGTTTCATATCGCCTCTAGAAGCCTTAAAAAATACATGGTGGATGTATGCAAAAAGTCACACCCAAGTTTCAGGGCGGAGGTCGCACAGACAAGCAATGCTAAAACACTGTTGAAGACAGCAGAACTGCTTTGAAATGTGATTAGGGTCAAAAGAGTGCATAGGAACTGGAAGGTAGCCTTCGGTACTTTATGAAGCCACCATACCCGAGATCTGATGCAATCCAATCTTCGTGCATCCAGAATGTACAGATAAAAATTAGTTTCGAGTTCTTCCATTTAGTCATTTCTTGTCAAGCTGACTTGTCAAGCTGACTCACCTGAATAGCTGCACCAGTCTCAAAATATTACCGAGGCAAGTTGCGCACCAACCTGCTCACCAAAAAAGCAAGTCAAAAGGATGCCCCTCCAAAACTGACCTCTCAGGCAGAGGAACGTCAAGAAGTCTTCAGTCTTGGGTCGCCTTTTGCAAGGAAGCAGCGTGGACGGGGGTCCGACAGGCTCCCTCACTTCCCTGATCGTTGGAATCATCTTTACTGGCGTTGGCATTGGGCTGCTGGGGTTTGAGCCTTGTGCAAACTTTCGCTGTGCATGAACCTTGATCCTGAGCAAAAGGAGAAGCAAACAAAATAAAAAAAAAAAGGCTTGTGTACCTGTGCTTTGCATTCTTATGCCCCGTGAACCTTGAGTGGGCTATGCCCAAAATGTACCCCACTGTGGTACCAAGAAGCCCCTTTAACTAGACAGACAGAATCTTGAGTGCAGCAACACATTCTTTTCTAATGGTTGAGTTGCTGCACAACCAGTAGAAAATCAAACTGGAGGGCAACCAAGTCTTTATTACCAAAACAATGGGTGCATGTTGTGAATGATGATGCACGTTTTACATGCTCAGTGATGTGATTGGCCCGAGTCATTCTCAAGCACCTTTTGGAGCAACTATAAGTCCATTTTGTAGCAGAAAAATTAATTTTTTTGGGGCATAAGCATACACTTAATTTTCATTCCTACCAGTAAATATTATATGTTAGGATACATGTGTTGGCCTATCCATCAAAAGACTTTGCCTTCTCACTTCTGTGCAACCTTCTGTGAGCATCAATTGCATGACAGGTTTGGTCACCGCTTGCCTGTGCTGTGCTCTTTAGATCACTAAAAATAGCAAAGAGGGAAATGCCTCCCCTTCTCTCATCACGGCGCATTGTCTGCTCCAACAACTGGGCAGTACCCAAAGTCCGGCTGGTGTGCAAACACGGTTGAAAATCACATTATTTCGGCTATATCAGCTGCAAAAGTGTGAATTTAGATGTGTAAGTTATCATACATTGTTATATCAAATAAAAAGACTAGCCAAGCACAATCCTCCAGTCACCTGCCGTGCAAGTAAAAAAAATAAGTGAGTACAACCCTGTAAGCAGTGTGGTCAGTCTGTTGTATCTGGCAAAAAGTGACTGCAGTTGCAGTAGCTTTATGCAAGGTAAAAGTTCACACCGATTCAGGCCTTTAGCGACTATGTAAAAAAGTCTACATAAAATATTTCAAAAGTACATACATTCTTACTAAGTATAAAACAACTGCACAGTTTTTTTTATTTTTTTTTTTAAGGAATTACGAATTTGCACAGAATTGCCTGATGACCTTGGATATGAAGACCTTAGAGGGCTTACATAATATCAGACGTTTGTAATGGTCTGTTTGTAACCAAAGTAACTTTTTGTTATGTTTACACATATACTCCATTGCACAATAACTTGGCGAACTGTGGAGGCTGCAGCCCCCATGACCTAATAAGAGCGTCGGAGCAAGGCACGTGACAACACCCCATGGTCGAGGCCGCAGAGACATTGTTACCGCCACAGCAAAAGCGCCGTCCGCGACAAAAAGTAGTTCTAGGCCTCTTCTCTTCTTAGTAGTGTTAAGGTCAGACTCCTCTGCCTGCAACACGACATGACGCTGAAGAAAGACGAAGACATGCCACTTTTCAACGATACTTAATGCGGAACAACACTTTTCCGAGAACAATGTGGCTTTTGAACGATGATTAAATGACCGGAGCCGTGTAATCGATCGCTTCCGCTTAAAACATAACCTTGGCATTAGAACCCACCACGGATCCTAGGGTAAATTGAGAGCATATGGTAATCTCTTGAACTGTTCCCGGAGAGCTCACTACTCTAGCGAACAGCAGTGATGAGGTGGACGTTACGAATCCGAAGTTGGTTCATTTAGCAGCAGAGGACAGCCAGTTCCTCTGGGTCTCGCATTTGGCGTAGTGACACAAACGTTCCCGTGACGTAGTGTCGCACGCCTCGCTTTAACGTTCCTATTGGGCTGCGGGAGCCCTAGCCTCCACAGTTCACCAAGTTATCGTCAAACGGAGTAAAGTGGTACTTTGGAAGCGACTAATGGGTGCACAATTGACTTCAATGCAGTTGTTTATTGTTACTCATAAAAAATAAAAGCAAAGCAGCTAACTTTGACGTGATGGCGCTTCCTTGGCTAAAAAAATTCTATAAAATTCGGCTGGGTGAAGAAAACTGCTGTGGGTTTTAATGTTTATAACCTTGGAGCAAGAAAATTTTTATGTTTGCATGAAACAAAGCAAGAAACTCAGTATCGTACAATAAGGATTCTGTTTTCTGCTAATCCAATAAACACAGCGGTTCAGGGTAGAACTGCCGGTAAACGTCATTGCAACTGAAGCAACCGAACAAAGACACGCTAGCTGATCATTTACTGAAATAAGTCAACCAAGCACAACAGACGGACTCTGGAGTATTCATAAATGTTCTAGAAACACAAACCACTTCATAGCAGCGGCAGGGAGCAAGCATTGTTCGGTACAGCCAACGTGTAGTCATGGGTACTGCCCAAAACATGGAGAACGACCGGTCTGTCGTCTGCTATCGGATGGGGCATGTGCCCTCTCCCTCTTTTATATCGCCCAATTTTTTTGTAATGTCCGGATGTGACAAAATGGCACCGCTCTGAAAGCAGCGAGTGGAATTGTCTATACATCGTTTGAATCAATAACCAAAGGTTTAGAAAATTTTGACACGAAAGGAATATTCAGGCACAGTTTGGTGTAAATAGTAAAGCAATCACATCACTACCCCTCAAGTGCTCACTAAATTTTGAAAAAGCCTTCATTCATAGCACTGATGGCAAGCTTTTCCTTCACAAAGGCTTTAGTGTGGACCTACTAAGTGACAATAGGTTATATACACCCTAGAATGGTGCATATGCCAGAAATGCAAATAATTAACAAGCTCACAAAACCAATTTGTTAAGTCAAGTGCTCTAATAATACAAGTGAACAGATTTGCTGCCATTTTGAAGAATGCTTACCTTTTTGATTCAGCATCACTAGTTTTTTTGGAGATGGAAGAACTTGATACTGTCTTTGGCGTCTGCTCTCGGCTGTCTTCCGACACATTCTCATCCAGAAGGCGCACTTTCTTGGTCTCGTTGAGGGAGGCATAGAGAGCCTTTTTGAGCTGTTTTTCTTCCATCCAGTGTAGACCATTACTGGAACCCTGAAACAGGAGCACAACAGCTTCAAAACAGAGCGGACACCCTTAAAATTGCCCTCATAAACGCTCCCGCTAAAGTATTGATCCCAATTCCTAGGGACAGCGGACCCACCAATGACACAAGGACAGAAAATGCATGCCTAAGGCTGGGATGTTTTATTTGTAGCTTGCTCATAGATGAGTACAATCGTAAATGCTGTGAACTGCTAACAATGAGCGAAGCATAGTTAACACACATAAGACATTAAAAAAAAAAAAACGCAGCATGGGATTACAAGAAAAACGTGGATAGAGCGACAGAATAACAGTAAGATTGAAGCAGCTGTCTACTAATGATCGAGTGTCTATTTGTTTCCCAGTTTTTCTTTTCCGTGGTTTGGACTGCTAGAACCTGCCCGTCAGGGAAAACTTGTGACGGCTGGGTAAGCTACCTCGCGATCTCGGCAGACACAGAACTCGCAGTTTTACGCGATACTGTGCTTTCTCGTTTTGCGGGACACAATGCTTTCCTGCCGGGTCTTGCGACGAATCAAACCGGATAAAATTTGTGTCGAAACAACAAATGCCGACAAACCTGTGAGGGGACAAGTGTGTCAGGAGGGCAGACAGAGCTCGGCGCTGCGCGCTCCCAAGAAAGAACAAATTAATTATCTAATAACAAAACAAAAATAAAAAAGGCATTCTAGATATGAATTCTAAATCCACGCTTAAGCTAAAAAACGCATACGCATCAGAAAAAGAAGAGGTATAACAAAAAGAAAACGTGCAACGTCGCCTTGGGACAAGCCTGCGCCGTGCGCGAACAAAAGCTTGCCTCGAGATTCTGCCGCTAAATACTCCCGGTTCATTCCGATAGCACAAAAATCTCACGAATCCATTTCAGGCTTATGTTATGTACAACAGACGTTCACACGAAAACATAACCTAAATGCAATGAAGTGAAAAAGAAAGAAAGAAAAAAAAAAGGCAACTTACCAAGCCTTTGGCGGAAGCATTGCGCTTCGGACGCTGAGACGCACTTGAATACTCAGATAGCTGTCGTTCCTTAAATGCAGACTTCATGGCAGCTACAGCAGAATTCACCTCATATTTGCTTTCCTCTGCAAGAGACGCTAGATCATTTGATCATGATCTAAACAACTCGGGCACACGTTGCCACAGCCAACGAACACATCGCCAGTGTTTATGAAAACCATCGAACAAAACAAAAACACGCCATTCGGCGTTCACGCGTCCACTATCACTGCCTGCCTTCGTAATGTGCTTTGGCGTCTGCAGAAAGAATGCATTGGCTGTCTCTTCGGACTGTCGAGTCCAAACTTGAAGTTCTCCGCAAGCCCTCGGGTGCACACAACGGTTCTTCACATGCACACAACACCAGAACAAAACAATTAACTTTCGCGACAAGACGCGTGATAGTTTGCAGACGAGGGGGCTTGCATTCGGCCGCTTAAAGTTTTTCCCCTCTCCCAAAAAAAGAAGCCGCCAAATTACAATATAAAAATCACAGCATAAAGTGTCGCAATGTAGCTTTGCGTAATAAAGTTTAAATATTTTATTTGTTGTGTAATACATTCGAGCGACACTACGCGAAAATAAGTTCGAAATTCAAAGTACGCAATCACTTCTTGGCTGCCTTCCGCAGAAGGGCTTGGGCGGCCGGCAAGGTTTTGTTTAAAAATGGCGGTGCTCACGAGAACGTTTTTGTGGTGGTTGAGTAGTTTCTGCATAGTTTCTCAAATTTATAGCGAAACTCCGCACAAAGATAGCTTCACTGAAGAACTATTTATAAAGCCGCTTTCTAGTGGCCACGTTTACAATTACTTTCTGTTCACGACGAGGTGGAAGATCGAAAGCGACGAGGAAACATGTACGGTACCCGTTTCCTACCTCGCAGCGAGTTGATCTGCGTTTCCTATTTCGCAGCGAGTTGATCCCCCATCAGTCCGCGAAAACGCTATCTATACACATTTCAGATGCTCAGTTTGTTTACTTGGTTGTCGAGCTATTTTCAGACAGTGCTGTTTTGTTTTCGCAGTCCAGCATTTTCGTCTATTTCCACTTTCGCTGGGCGAGATCGTCAGCCAGAAACACGTCCAAGAACTGCACTTGGCCCTCACGCAAGGCCGATGGCAACACCAGAAATGGGGATATCCTTTCCAAGAAGCACCTCCGGGGGCACATCTCTGGGCCTGGTTCAATGACGATGTATCGAGGTACGCACGTAGGCTCTGTCGCACAACGCTGGTTACGAAGAACAACGTCGTAGTTCACAAATAATCACCTTTCAGTTCGAGGGAGAAAAAAAAAAACGCACAGAAAACAAACGCCGCCCTGTCAGTAAAAAAAAAAAAAAAAAAAAAAAAAAAAAAACTTGCTGCATTAGGCACAAGTCATTATAACACCCACTCCTTAGCCTTGTTGTAAGCACAGGAATTCCACTTGCACTAACCGAAACTTCATCTTCTCTTCGTGCTCGGTACTTCAGAAAACCTCATAAAGGCAACGTACACTTTTTTAAGGAGCCTTAGCTTCTTCAGTTCCTAAAAGAAGCAGAGTCCTAGAGGTTGGCTGCCATTCCAAAGGGAGCTAAGTCTCAATAAAACATTTGTTTCCTCTTTCTGCATTGAAGACTTCTCGGACGTCTACCGTACCCAATTGTTTTTGTTAAAAAGTAATGGCTGTGCACTTTTTTTTTTCTTTCTCCATAGTGTCGACAGTGCATGGAAGGACTTGACCCACTCACTCTCTGGTCAGCTCTGTGCTTCTCTCAACTTCATTGATGACACTGTGACGGTGTCACCCAAGAGGTCATTTCGGCCCCAGGGATGGGTCAGGTCGCACAATGAATCCCTCCTGCGCTATGCAGCATTGCCTCGAGAGTCTGTCTGCACTGAAAACCTCACACCCTGGAAAAAGTTCTTGCCCTGTGGTAGCAAAGTGAGTCGACTACGCAATCCTCATGATAGGTGGTGTTAATTGTGGCTATTAGCTACAGTCTTGCTCTTTTTCTTTTTGCTACTTCTGAGTTTTACAATCCCTTCGTGTTGAACTGCTGGCAAGCCAGGCCAAGTGGATTATTCTCCACAAATAGATATCCTTAATTAGTTTGTTTTGTTAAGAGGTGGGATAGTTGGAATGGAAAATAGGTAGAGAAGGAAACAGAATAATGGCTTTATAAATGCTCTTTTTGTAAAAATGAGCATATGACTGTGAAGTGTTTACTCTGAGCACTATATTCGGTAATAACCTTTTTGTGCTGCGTTGTTGGGGTTAGCATAGCCACGGTGCTGCAGCCCCACATTGCTGGGAGAGCATGTGGCTTCGTCTTGCTTCTCATTCGCATGCACTCTCATTAAAAGGGCACTGCAAAATGAAGTCACGTGTTTGCGCAAGTAACTTTGACAGCATTAGAGCCCCGTGAAAGCTACGCTACTAATCTGGACAAAGTGCCATAATAAAGTTGATGCCATTTATTAGTCCCAAGTAAAGAAAAAAAAATATTTTTTTAGGTCCCTTTAAATGAGGTTGTATTGAAGGCAACATTGAATTTATATGACTGGATGGCATAATTGTGGATTGAAGTATATTTATTCAGTAGACCATCTCTTGATAAGTAGCTGACTCACGAGTTTCAACCATTTGAATTGTGTTGAGTAATATTACTTAGACATTACTTAGATGAATCTGTGGAATGAAACTGAGTGTATAAAGGTACATGTTTTCTAAGTGTCCATATCATACACATTCCTGAGCACAGTTTTTATGTATCATCTCCTGTTTTGTCCTTCAGCATGATGTGCACCTTTTGCTCTCTTTTTGTTTCTACAGGTGGGCCTTGCTACCTTGCTTCATGCCTTGCAATTATTCACTGCCAACTACATGTCCATAGCGCTAGATCTCAAGACCGTTTGTGAGGTAAGCTGTGGTGCAAAAAAGAAAGACAGTTTGAGAACTGTTAGTGTAAAGTGAGATTCTTAAAAAAAAAAAAAAAACGTTTTTGCAGAACGAAGAGTGCAAGGATGCTATACTCGAGCTTCAGATGTCAGTCTCGCTTGTCTTTGATACAGTGATCTCCCAGAATGGCTATCAAAGTAGGACCGTTTTGCTTTTCTTCAATCATTTCATTGTATTGGTGTGCCATTGAAGGGGCTTTAAAGAGGATTTTGTGATCATCTGTTCTTGATCATTACTGATTCTACGGGACCTAAACATCCTAAAAATTTAAAAATTACAATCACGCAACGCCGATTTGAGAGAGGCGGCTTGTGTTTGGCCAATGAGTGCCCATCGTCACCACGCTGACACCGCTGCTGGGGTGTGCCCCGCCTTTCCTGTGCTCACAAAGGGGTGTGTCCCGACCTTTCATCACGTTTTTAATAGGGAAATCGGCGTAGCGTGAATGTAATTTTTAGGATGTTTAGGCCCCGTAGAATCGGTTATGACCAAAAACAGACAATTGCAGAATCCTTTTTATTACCCCTTTAATATGAATGTTTAATTGAATTATGCGTATCCTGAAAGCTGTTATGTTTAGTTGCGTAGGCATATCTAGATCTTGTAAGTAGAAACTATCATTTTAATTATTGTGCCAAGAATGTAAAGGGGCACTAAAAAGATTGGCAGATTTTTCGTTGACCAAGCCCTGCTCCTTTCAGTACCCGTTTCCTTGTGCAATATCCAGGATGTCGGCATGTTTATTGACCCCAAGTACAGTTTGAGACTGCATTTGTGTTGGTTCCAGAAAGCATAAGATGAAATCTTGTCTGCTTCCACAGAATCTGCCATTTACCTTTTTTTTTTTTTTTTTTTTTTTTTAAACTGGCATTACTTGTTGGAAAAACGGGTTCAAGGGTTCCTAGGATGAAACGGCGAGTGTCATTTGGAAGGAGAGGGAGCAGGCTTCTTTGAGCGAACTTGAGGGCAAAAGGTGAACCACAGTGGGCTTAAAAGGAATCTTGGTAGAGCTCAACCTAAGTCACTGCAGCTCAGTGGAGCCAACAGGATCTAGCTTCCTTGCTCGAGGGAGTGCCTTCACTCGCTTCAGCATATGCACACATATAATCATACCCATACCTCCTGAACCGGTGATTTCTGAAAATGGTGGATTGTACCGTGTCCTGTTGTTCTACTTTTTTTTTTTATTATTATTATAAAGGTGCATGTCATTTGGCACATTTCTGGATTGTCAAGTAAGGGTATATGAGTAAATGCCTCTTTCTTTAGGCTGGTCTTTGAGCAAGCTTTTCGGATCTGGTCTCATCACAACCTGTCCACTGGCATCCATGAGCGCCATCTACGTTGAAACTTCCAATAATGGGGTGAGTGACCTAGTTTGTGGCTTCCAATTGCTGTAACAGCTTCAGAAAGGATACCTCCCAATCAGTGCATGCCTTGAATATTTAGTTCTCGAGTTTTAACCATCATGTTCACCAATTTTTGGGTACTGTGTTAAACTTGCCGTAAGGTGTTTACCGCTTTACAAAATAATTGGTTTTCATTGAACTGTAGAAACCTTGGTGATAATATTTAAGCCACCACTTCAAGACCCCTAGTTTTACCAACTGCACTAGTCAGAAAAAGGGAAACTTGATGCACGTTTTTATTGTGTGTGTATGTTGCAGAGTGTGGGAGCGTTTAAGCTTGCACCAGAACCAATACAGTTTGTCTCCACGGGTGCGGGCACCACCAAACGTACATTTGCCCTGTACGATGTCAAGCACCATGTTCGAGCTGGACGTTTTAATCTGGCAGCAAACTATGAGAAGCCTCACATCTATTGGATTGTTCCAGAGCCAGCTCTGTATGCCAGTCGTTACATTCAAGGTGAGTTGCATTCTTTCACTGGGGAAGCAGACTGGCGACATAGTTTGCTGGTTGAAATAAAAAAAAACAAGGAATGTTCAAGAACTAATTTGTAGGATTCACCCCAAACCTGAAAGCATATTTATATATCAGATCTACTAAATCAAGGGATCTAATCTTATGCTAAAGGCAGAAAACTATCTTTTTATGAAACACACTGCAATTTCTTTTTTTTTTGCAAATGACGTGTTTTTTTAGAAATTCATTTTGAGCTTACGACAGCCCTGTGAAAATGTATAGCATCTTTTGTGTTGCTTATTATGTTCTGAACAGCACCCCAATAAATGATGTCAGCATACAGGTGCCCTCACAAATTGCCGAGGGTTTTCTTACAAAAAGGGGAAAGGTTGGAGACATATCTCGTGTGTAAAGGTAGTGCCTTTCCTTGTAGGTTATGGACTAGAGAGAGGAGGCATCGTCAACAGGATTCACAACAATGACCCTAAGAAGGCCATTCGAGTTGTCTTTCTTGACATTGTCCCATGGTTTCTAAGAGTCTACGTGCACACACTGAAAGTTTCCTCTGAGGGCAAACTGATCACACCAGGTATGTTTTGCATCCCTCTTTTCCTACAACATATATGGTCTAATATGCAAAGCTGCATTAATTTGTGAGATGTTGTTAAGCTGTGCAGTCTGCTGCACTGAAATACATTATAGTGCCATGCAGATGTTTGGGATAACTTCAGGGTGTTAACAGAATCCACGTGATATGTTTATAGGGAACATTTGGCCATGATTTCCCCCTAGTTCAAATATCTGTCACTTTTCGTAGGTTAGTTTATGTGGAACAAGATCTGCTGAAAGCTGCAAATAAATATAGCCCTGAAGTGTTCCTCTCAAGTTTCACTGGAAACCAAAATTATCCCATAGGTACTTTGCACAGTTGTGTAGGTTCCACAGTACAAGTTACTTTAAACAGTGATGGTGATACATGCTGCAGTCACCTAGAGTTTAAAGTTTGGTCTATCATTTTTTGTTTGTTTTTGCTCTCAGTCCACATGGCTATAGTATGCTCTTGTGTCATATAAACTCAATCATGGGCTGAATGTATTGTTGGGTCTTTGATCTATCTATCTGTTCCATGCTGCATTTTGATTTGAATGCACTGGTGACATGTTGTATAGTATTTTAGGTAGGAGGCAAAGGCAACAGATGCCAACTTGCCTGTCAAAGTAAAGCCTTCAGAGATGGGGACTGTGGTTTATCTTCACAGAGCATGTGTATTACAAGCCTGGAAGGGACAGGGAACAGTCGCATCACCTTGAGCTGACACTCGTGCTGCCCCCTGCTTCGGAAACGGTGCTGTCGTACGACTTTGAGCGGGCTTTTCTCAAGTGGACCGAGTATCCCCCAGACGCCAATCACGGATTCTACGTAGGATCGGCAGTGTTGAGTGCGTCCCTGAGTGCTCCTGTTGCAAACTACAGTGGTGACATATCTCTCTGTCCAACGCTCAGACACTGGTAAGTGTGTAGTGCTGTATATGTAGTTGACAGAGATGTGTGGTTTTGTGCAGTGCTGTCTTCATATTCCATGCAGACACCCATCTATTCTTATGGGTAAATGTTAGCTTTTTGGTGAAGGTATACTAATCTAGTCACTGGAAAGATCTGAAATTGAGAGCCTGACCTTGTGTTGAGAAAACATACTTCTGTAATTACTGTGCAAGGTATAGCCAAATGGCTTATACTAATTGGTTGTACAGGTGTGGTGTAGATAGGGATATTTCTGCCCATCAATGCTTCTCATTCACCGTTTGTTTTGCCGAAATTCAAGTCGCTCTGTATCTTAGAAACATAGCTCAACTTCATGAGAATTAAAGCTAGGAAGCTGAATCTCTTATAAAAAAAAGAAATACAATATTAGGAGCTGCCTTCTATAGCTTTTTGTCTGCTGAATTGGGTACCATACTAGAATCGAGCAGGGTTTAGAAAAAAAACGCTTTTATTTCGAAGAAAAAAAAAAGGAAATAAGTGTTGCAGGGTATGTGGCGTACCTCTCTACTGCCTATTATCTGTCAAAGGCATTGCAATGTCGTCATCTGCATCTCCGAGCCAGGCGAAAGGCGGGTGAGGGTCGCCTGACACTGCCAATGACGCTAATTATCCTTCTTCCTCCCCTGCACTCTATGAGCAAAAGCAGGTGGAGCTTCGGTGAAATTTCAATTTGTGATTATATGTCAATCTACTAATAACATAAAGAGAAAAATATTTTTATGCACATTATTGTTAAGGTGCCTAGATCTAGATTCTGACAGCTTTTTCAAGCCTGAAAACTGCTTCAGCTTTTCTTTAATTTAGAGAGTAGAACAATTGCAGATAGTCTTGGCAGTATGAATTCTTCAGCAAATTCAATGCTAGCCAAACTAAAGGCAAGCAATGCCAGGCCCTACATATTATTTAATCATTATCTATATTTTTTTCTTTTTTATGCTTTACTATGTGATCACCTTAGTCAAATTTGGGGGTTTTACATGCCAAACCAACGATGGGCATCTGGCATGCCCCAGCGGAGGACTGAGGATTATTTACGACCACCTGTGGATCTTTTGACGTGCAACCGAAAGCTTGGTTACACGGCGCCTTCTTCGCAATAAGCGTCTGTCAGATTGCGGGCACCTCGGCCGGGATTCGAACCCGCCACCTGGGGATCCATAGGCCGGCGTTTTGCCTCGGAGCCACCGAGGGGCTATGATCACCTTAGTCTTGATTGCTTTCTCAATGTTATATGCAATGATATCTTTTCTTCTGTTTTTAGCATCACTGGAGGAACTGCTTCGGCACCATTTGGGCATGAAGGCAATTTGAAACCGCATTGGTTTGTTAGAATTTACACGGAGACTCTTCTGGTGTCCCTGCCCACCCCAGACTTCAGCATGCCTTACAACGTCATCTGCCTTGCCTGTACTGTGGTTGCTCTAGCATTTGGGCCAATCCACAACATGGCAACAAACATGTACGTATAGACAGTCCTGAGGGCAGACTGTGTGTAAGACAGTCAGTATTGCCCGAGATGCTGCAGTGGCCTGCAGAGTATGCGAGATGCGATTACGTATGAAGCATTTAAGGATGGTTCATTGAGAAAACCCTGGTCTTCCCAGGAGAAAATCAGTCCACCTGCAGATGGATTGTGGAACTTATCCCAGTTGGATCCAGCTGGAAGTGAGACAGTCCAGCTTGATCCAGCTGGATTGTCTCATTTCCACTGGATCCAACTGGGATAAGTTCCAGAATCCATCTCCAAATGGACTGACTTTCTTCTGGGTTTATATTGGGCCTTCTAATCAGTCCGGAAATAACTCTCAATGTCACTTGCCCTCACTTGCTCCATCTCACCTGCTTCTTCCCAAGAGTGAGGGTGCTTGATGGAGGGTCCTTGAAGTTGACCTACTTGCCTGTGAAAGAAAAGTTTGAAAGGGGCAAGTCCTCCTTACCAACTGTAGGTGCTACTTTCTCGCACCCACGCATTTGATAGCACTGCATGTGAGCTGGAGTATGGCAACTGTACCCTTAGGCACACATTGACAAGTACTGGGAAAGATTATTAAGGCTTCGTGTTTCTGGTATTTGGCGATAAATCCCGAAAAGTAACCCCCCTGAGCCGGTTGTATCGAAATCAAAGAGAACCGCAAAACCTTGAATGGGAGCTGTCCTTAAAGGCACACTGACAGGGTATTTATGCTTGCCAAGGTTTTTATTTGTGCATGACATATGAGAGCCCAACTACCCAGAACACAATTTGCAGCTAGAAATTTGTTTTCTTTCTGCTTGAAAATTGCCCATCAAGAACTGGCTGATTTGAGTTGCGCTCACTGTCTTCTCCGTGGTCACGTGCCATTTTCTATGGTTTAGACACAACCACCAAAGATAATCAAAATCGTGTGTGATTGAAGGCATAGACTCAGTGCTAAAAATAGACAAAAAATATGATACCTATTCTTTGTGGCTTCTAAAAAACTGCAAGTATGTTGATTAAATAAAATAAAAATGTTGCACAGCCACGTGACTTCCGGTAACTTTTTCCTGATTAAATTTGTTAAAAAAAGCTGCATAGCCACTTGACTTCTGGTAACTTTCTCCTCCTCTATATCTCTTCTTCCTCCCCAGTCTAGTTTCGGTTTCGAGCAATATACTGACTGGGTAGTCTTTTGACGCCATAATAGATTGCCTGGGCAAAAATAAAAAAAGTTTCGGGGGGATGTCATTGTTCCTTTAAAGAGGAACTCCGATCGAATTTCGTTGTTGAGAAAACAATGCAGTCCTATGTCGCATCATCTGAAAAGCCTACACGCACAATATTACGACGCGATTCCGCCTAAAAGATTATTAAACCGGCCAACGAAGTCGGAGCGGCTCCACGGTCACCAAAATCTGCCCAGTTTAGCGGGCGACGCGCAGAGCAGCGCAGTCAACGCCACTGTGTGGACACAGCCGACACTGCACAAAACGTCAACAACTGGAAGGATAGTTTTGTTTGTACTTTTTGAGGTGCAGAACACGAGGGCTAAAGAGAAAAAAGAGTGTGGGACGCCGTCTGCCGCTTTCGTTGATTACATAGCCGAGGTCTCTGTACCTTATGATGTCCAGTAGTTGACGAGGAGGGCCAATGTTGCCTGCCGCAGGCAAGGTTTCAGTTTTGCTATGTGGTTCTTGTTTAAACGAGATTCGCAAGGAAACTTTTTGGAAAATAAATGATAGAGAACTGTTTATTAGTAGTTTTGACATGATAATCATCCGTAATCCCAGAATTTTCGGAAGTGACTGGAGTAGCTCTTTTAATAAGAGAAACTCCGAGCTTGGCGGCAAGAAACCTTTGCCTACATTTTTATTTTGTGTTGACCCGAAACATAGACTCCATTGAACTGTCCTCAAGGCTGCGTCTGTTATCGTTATTGGGACGTGTTGTAAGTATTCCAGTCACATGCATTTCCCCTGGAGGTTGGGGATGGGGAATCCCATACCCGTGCCCTGTCCTCTTCAACATAAGCCCCGATAAGCGCCAGTCTTTTCGTCGGACACCAGAAACAGACATTGAAAAGCACCGAATACGTGAGAGAAAAATTAACCCTGGAAACACTGAACCCTAAATATGGTCTGCCAAGCTTGACAAGGCCTACATTTTTTCATTGGGTAAAAAAGGTGTATCTCTTGTTTGGGTTAACACTATCCAGTTCAGATTTATTAGCTTAAAAGCATTACAGCCTTTCTGATGGTTCTTTTTGTGTCTGAAGGTCAACAATGTTTAGAATTGATTTTTTGTCTCCTCTGGCTCGAGAGTGATTGCCAGAAAATAGAGGTGTCTATTAATTTGTTTGCTCGGTGCATTATAAAACTATGCGACTCCTCTAGTGAGCTCTCAGTGTACTGTCACACACAATACTCCTTTTTCGTGTATTTGTCGCCATCTTGAATAGCGGAACTTCTGGTAAAAGGGAAAAACATTGTTTTGCCCGCGTCAGTTAACTGGAAAGTGTTCACATTTTTATCGCGACTGTCAATGCTTCTTGTTTTGCCTCTTTTATATTTTTTTTTACTCATTCCCTGTTGTAATGTTTTGCTTTTCTTCGTCCCCCTTTACCGGATATCTGAACTGAGTAACTGAGGACAAGGGCAAATGGAAGAGGTCTATACTTACCGGTCCAATGGTCCAAACTAGGGCTGCTGGAACTCAAAGTTGAGGTCACACTCGCTGAACTATGCAACAAGTTGAGAGAAAATGGGGATTGTAGGGACCGCAGTCATGGCATAAAGAGAGATTGAATGTTTTTACTCGTATTGTGTGCGTGTGCCTCATCTTGAAAGGCTGCTGCATATATGCCTCTTTTAAATGCCAACAGTACTCTTTTCTCACTGGTGATCGCAGGCTAACCCCGGTTGAAATCAAGAAAGAAGGCGGATTACTGTCAAAGCTGAAGTCCAGGGCCCGAGCTATTTTTGGTCGAAAGTCTCAAACAGGGGGCTCAGGTGATACAGAGATCTCTACTGAAGAAAAGAAGGATCAGTAAATGTTTTTTCTAGTGTCACTGACACTTTTATAATGCAAAATAAGCTTGGCAATAAAAATTATTTTGTTTTTATGTGCATGTTTTGATGTTGCATTTTGCAGAATTGTGACACATTAGTGACACTATTCTCATTCAGTTACAAGTGAAAACCAGATAGTGATTACATAATATTTATTTATACAGGACAAGCACAGGGACAGTAGGAACTTCAGAAAGGATTGAAATAGTTCAATGTCAAGATTGGGTGTCAAGATTGAGACTCCGACTTGAGTCACTCCGTCAGAGTCTCCACTAAATGGGCTTCTAGAGCACCTCTGGATGCAGTTAGCGCCCTCTATGTGAATTTTCGCTTGTTTTTTTTCCTTTTGGTTTTCTGGGGGACATTGCAAGGTGGCCGGCATTTCGACAAAGCAGAACAGAAGACACTAATTTGACTGCAGCTGCTCAAGCATAAGCTTGTGTCGTTGTTGGCTCTTTATAACGCCTGAACTTGGCACTGAAGCGAATGCAATTTCTCATAAGCCCACCGGAATAGACTACTTCCATAAAGCCCTACATGCAACACGGCGCGCGTTGCACTCTGGGAACTAGTTGGCCAGCCAGGGAGGAGGGTGGCATGGTTTCGGTTTCGGTTGACTCGTCGACAAAAGATTATACACAGAGCGTGGACTATTAACGGCCGTTATCTCATGTTTTCTGGTCCCGAGAGCGTCATTTGTGGTCTCTAAACTAACCTAAATGGCCAGACCTTGAAGCTTTAGACAAGCCTGCGACGTATAGTTTGTCTTAACTCATGCTTGTTGTATTTTTGTACTTGAGCCTTTCTGTTAGCGTTCCAATCGAGGTACAGTCGCCGGCCATATGAGCTCCCCCGCCCGAACGCCGACCGGAGCAGCGAAAATCCCGCATGCGGCGCGTCAAGCGTTGCCGCATTCTGGGGGCCAGGCTACTGAGACCAAACCATTCCGTCATCAAAGGGGTGGACGCAGGAATTAATAGAATTCCGGGTTTTGGAACATGATTCTGAAGCACGGCCGATTATTACAATCCGGCTTCCGTTGTAGGTAAACGCAAACGGCTTATCGAAATTTTTCATTGCCTAACATCTCTGACGTTATATGCTACTTTTTTATTTGAAAAACCGGTTTGTCATTTTAAATATCTTCTACCCGAAGAGTAATCCTACGCACAAGCCCCCTTTCTTACAACCTTTCTTAAACAAAGACTAGACAATGACAAGCGACTTTGAAACAACTTATTTAATCTATAAGGATATGCAATAGACAACAAAAAAAAAGATTTATATCGAAGCTGAATAAAGATTCAGGAACTTTTCATGGACGCGTTTTATCGAGGAGACTCTATTGTTCTGCGCTCAGTAGCGTGTTGCTTCGCCAAGGGTAATTCTCTTCTCGATGACTTTGCAGATGGCTTCCTGGTCGGCCACTTCTGGCTTGCCGAGGGATCCTGATTGTCATGCCCATTGTCGTATCAAACATAGGGTTTCTAGATTTGTAAACATCGGTCGAACGCTGCTGCTTTATCTATACGCCTAAAGCAAGCTCCAGTTTATCAGCAGTTATAACACCATCTCCGAACACTTAGGGCTGAAACCCGAAGACGGAAATTCTAATCGGCCATGTTTTTGTGATTCACACTTCTAAAGGCTGGAATCCCGATAAATGCTATGCGTCCACCCCTTTGATAACAAAATGGTTTGGTCCCAATAGCCCGGCTCCCAAAGCGCGGCAACGCTCGACGCGCCGCGTGCGGGATTTTCGCTGATCCGGTCGGCGTTCGGCCGGGGGAGCTCATATGGCCGGCGACTGTATGTGGACGAGCCAGTGCTGGGAATCTTGACGCTGCGAAGCTCGGGGATCTTGCCTATGTAGCAAGATCCCCGAGCCTATGTATCTTGCCTATGTAACAAGCTGTAGCAACGAATAAGTATGCATACATCGAGCTCGCGCCTTTACATTAGTGTTGTTGATCAGGAAGTTTGTTTCTTTCGTGCGTCCATAGACGAAAAATCACTTTTTGCAATTACTGTTTTTCTTAATACGCCTGAGTACGCGAGGTAAAACTCGGAGGCGCCATTGAAAAGCTCAATTTTAACACACTTCTAATCTCTTATCTGTACTGACCCGCAGCACTGCACGAAGTGAGGTCCCCACCCGCTTGCATTCCACTAATGTTCAACATGGCGTATGCGCATAAAGTTATCCTGCAATCATATAGGCACATTCGCACATACATACCATTTTTAGTAAGCAAATGTCGAGCACTTGTGTGAAGAATGTCGCACCGTTCGCCGGGAGTGCGCCGGACGGGCAAGAACCCCTATGCGGTGCGCCGAACGAACGAAATTATTCAAAGCGCGTTTGACAGTTGTTAATGGCCATTATATTTGTTATGTATTTGCTTTCTTCCTGCCTGAGTATGTCGAGATAATTTCAGACACACCGTTCAGGCACAGATATTGGGCGTCAGTAAAAGCTCGTCCAAAAAGGCTTAGCGAGGAGTAGGGGACACTTGTTAGGGCCTCCGTCGTAGCTAGCCGATCTCAGCGTTTGCAATAACTGAATCTTCTATCAGCATAAAATTTGAGTGGGAGATATATGATGACACGAGGAAGACATCATAGTAACTTTTGTACAGTAGCGAGGTCGAATTTATTGCGTTTCCTTAAAAGTTCATGCGTCAACGCTGGGCTCAACTTTGATACTCCTGTGAGAATGCGGCTTGCTTTTTGCCCAATGAAGTAACAAGAAGCGGACGTTTGGCAAACAAAATAGGTGAAAGGCTCCAGGTGAACAAATTTCAGTTGTAGTTCACTGGTACTAGACGGGATTATTGAAATTGAACTCAAAGATGCACTCGTTGGGTGAGGTGACTAATACCCCTGTTACACGGGCACCCTTAACCGCGGTTAACTCAGCTTTAACTGCGGTTACGTGGCAGCACAGATGCCGCACTATACCCTCGGACAGCTATTTCAAAAGAAGTGAAAAGAGCGCGTGCACCGCTTTGATGGGTGCTCAAGATGCTCAAGCGCACGTTCGCCCATAGCTCTGACTGCATCGCCGCAGAATGTTGTCGGCAAGTATAGGGTGTTTTCACTGACGTAATTTCGTCCACCATTTTGTTGTTGCGATCTGTGTGGCGTGTGCCAAACTCGAGCATTTCAAGGATTTGCATGCCTTCTCAAATGCGTAGAGCACCGCTGACATCATTTCAACCGGTTACGATGTAATCTTTCAATGTTGTAAATTTGTTTGAAAAAACAAACTAACAACAAAATGGCGGATTGACGTCATGTGCAAACAACCTATAGTGCGCTAATTGTGGTTTAGCGTAACTGCAGTTAAGTGTGCCCGTGTAACAAGGGTATAAGCCACGCCTTACTACGTTTGCATACGCACTCATAATATCCGGTGTTTCGGGAACCAAGAAAAGTGCCCCGGTCTTCGTTTTGTATCGCTCGAGAATGAGCGTATTGTACGTTCGTGAAAAGTCAGATAATCGAAAACGCAAGCAGCGCGTTCGGTCGCGGCGTGATAGCATGAGATGAAGCTGCTCAATCGAAACCGAAACTGAGCGGCCAACTAGTTCCCAGAGTGCACTGCGTGGTATTTCGCCGCGATGGGGCGCGTCGGTTTTGGAACTGAAATCACTAGGCTCGATCTAAAATCGATTGTAAAAATCGATGCCTGCACAAAGCAATCTAAATTTTTCGTCAAATGTGTATTTCACAGGTCCGTTTAATCTTGTCATATTACAAAGCGTAGCTCCCTTTTTGTTAAAAATAGGGCCAAAAAATTTGCAATGGTGGGTGGTGACGCAGACGACCGACTCGAGCGGCGGGGCGTGCACGTGAAGAACCCGAGACAGTTCTCTCGATGCATTGCAGCAGCGGTAGCGTAGTCAAACTGGCTGGTGAGATCGGCCTATTGAGCGTTTTTACGGAACGCCGTAATATACTGCCCCTGTGTTATATCCTTCTAGAAAGAGTTGATTTAGTGGTTTTCGGTGGCGCTGAGCAAGTTTGTAATTGGAACCATAAGTCTATTTTCATAAATTAATTAATTAACGAATTTTAAATAATTAGCCAACTGATCGTTATGATTAGCCCCTTATACTCTGTCCCCCTCGCCGTATAACTAACCTGCATAAACCGCATTAGTGTAGCTTTCACGACTTTTTTAAAACAAATCTGTTGAATTAAGTTTAAAAAAAAACTATAAATGCAGGGTGTTCACGAAAGGTGGACAAATTCGATATTGCGAGAACCATGAATCGCATGGCACCAAAAAAAAAAGCTTATGTCGTTTTGGTCCTAGACCAGGGGCCTATTTAGAGAATTATTAAAGTTCGCGATAAGTAAGTTAGCAATTTTCGCGCAATTATTTCTTTTCATATTAAGTTCAAGCGCATGGTTTCATTTGGAAACTTGCTAAGCATCATCTAGAAACAATAAATAAAAAAATTGGAGTGCGATAGAAGGCATGCGCTGCATTTTACAGCTTTCTAAAAAACAGCGCAACTACGACGGGGTTTTAAGTTTCGGTTTTCAATTGGAGCCACTCATCGGAGCGCTTCTCGGTAGAAGCACCGACGGCACCGCACCCCGTGGAGAAATAGTGCAACCTGCCTCTGCTGCGTTGCGCGCCGCGAAGACAGCGAAGCAGATGTTGGTTGCACTATTTCTCCACGGACCGCGGTACCGTCGATGCCGAGAAGCGCTCCGACTGCAAACCGAAACTTAAAAACCTGTCGAAGTTGTGCTGTTTTTCAGAAAGCTGCATTATGCAGCTCATTCCTTCAATCGCACTCCATTTTTTTTTTATTTCGTGTTTTTCGATGATGCTCAGCAAGTTTCCAAATGAAACAATGCCCTTAAACTCAATATTTACAAAAATTAATTACGCGAAAAGCATTAAAGGGGCCCTGCAATGACTTTTTTTACTAATTTTTAATTTGCACCGAATCTGAGCGCACTGAACGTAGTAACTTAGTGAAACTTTTCTTTTCTCGAAATTCCCTTTAATTTAAAAGTTATAGGCAAATTAAAA